GGCGGGTACTGAATCCCCAGTGTGAAAATACCACACAGTAGGACCTATGGCTTAGGCCCCTAGCCAAGCTTGGCACTGTCCTTAATCGGCTTTTGTCCTCCCAGGAGGGACAGGCAGGGCTAGCTACCCTCTCTCTCCCCCTAACAGCTGGGGCTGGCTGTGCCAGGGCCAGTCTGAGGGGGTGGGAGTGGAGATCAGTAGGCCCTTGCTCCCTGAATTCACCCTCGGGAGAGGGAGCACAGCCTGGCTGGGTGAGAGGGGACAGTTTGTTCAGGACGGGGGCTGAGACTTCTGAGTCCTAAGGGAGGAGGAGCTGAGGGCCTGGACTCCTGGGTCTGGGGGAGGAGAGGCCTGGACCCCTGGGTCTGAGAGAGGAGGGGCCAGGGGCCTGGACTCTTGAGTCCAAAGAAGGAGAGGGCTAGGGGCCCAGACTCTTGGGTTCTAAGGCAGAGGAGCCTGGGACAAGGACTCCCAGTTGTGCTGGGGCTGGGAGCGGGCAGAGGGGGCAGGGAGTTGGGCTCCGTTAGCTGTTTACAGCACGTGATTCTCACTGTCCTTTCTGGGTGGGAGGTGGAATGGGTGGCCACACCCTGAGCAGGCTGGGCCCCTCTCTGGGTTTATGCCCCAGGCTGCTACTGGCACTAGCCACAGTCAGCAGTCCCAGCCCGGGAGAGCTCTGAAGAGGCCTGGGAGGGGTGAGTGCACGGCCAGCTAGGAGACAGGAATGGCTGCTGCCAACCTCAGGGCCTGGAAGGGAAAGGAGACACCTTCTTCTGGGGGATCAGGGAGCCATCAACCCAGAAGCCAGGCAAGGTGCTGGGTGGGCTTCAGGAGGGAAGAATCTCTGGAGCAGAGGGCAGCATCCTCACCAAGGGGGGCAAGGGCAGCTTTTCCAAGACCTAGGTGACAGGATGGGGATCCCAGAGGAAAGATCACCGGGGACCCTCAAGTGTGGACAGTCGGGCCTAGTCCAGGGCAAGTTTTTGAAAGCCAGAGCTAGAGGCCCAGCCTCCAGAGCCCTGGGAGGAAGACCAGCTTAAGTAACAGCTCTGGACCCAGAGATCTGGGTTTGAATTCTGCTCTGCCACTTTCAATGCAGCCTTCAACTCCTTACTTAACACCTCTGGGCCTCAGTTTCCTCTCCTATAAAATGGGGATGCTACCGACAATAACTGAAACTTAAACCGAGGCAGTCTGGGTCTCAGAGGGTTAGTGAGGACTGAATGAGCAAACGCACACAAAGTTCTTAGCACAGGTCTGGCACAGAGTGAGCTCAAGGTTAACGACAGCAACAAGTGCTGCTGTGGCAGGCAGGGGAACAGGGCTGGCCCATGCAATCTGAGCCAAGTGGACAGGCCCGAAGGCCAGGGGACCAGCTGAGGGAGCAGTGGGACCAAGTTTTGGGGACCCATCAGAGGAATAGGGAAAGAGCTGGAGTTTGGAGGGGATTCCACAGCCAGACTTGAGGGACTAGGAGGGAGGCAAGAGTGACTCCTCAGTTTTAAGTAAGGCTAGAATTATGAACTCCTGGGTTTAGGAATTGGGCTTGGGACCAGGGTCCTGGGACACCACCAGGTAGGTGGGAATGGGTAGGCTGAGGGCTGAACTCTCCCAAATAGTAGTGGAGGGGAAGGGCTTATGGGTGACACCTGGGGCCTGAGAGGAGGTGGAATGGGAGCCTGGAACTCCCAGGTCCTGAGAGAGGGGACCAACTGGGGATGCATACTTCTCAGAACCTAGGAAAAGGAGTCCTGGGCCCAAGGAGAATAAATGGAGACAGATGGCTAAACTCTTGGGTGCCTGAAGGAAGAAAGAGGGATAGATAGACTCCTGGATTGTAGGCGAGATACTGGAGCTAGGGAGCCAGTAAAAGTCCCAAAGAAGAGAGCAGGAGCCCCTGGAGCCTGAAGAAGAAGGGTCTGGGGCCTGCACTCCTGGGTCTGAGGAAGAAGGGAGCTGAGGGATTGAACTCTTAGCTCTTGAGGAGGGAGAAAGGATCTGGGTACCTGGACACATGGGTCCTGAGGAAGGAAGGGGATGAGGCCCTAGACTCCACCCTGGGGTCTGAAGGATGCGGTTGGGGTCTGACACCTGGGTCTGAGGGAAGAGGAGGGCAGAGCCTGGACTCATGGACCCAAGGGCCCCAGCTGAGCAAGGGGTGATCCAGCCCTGCCTAATATGCCTCCCCACCTGCCCACAGCCTCGCGGCTCACAAACACCATGGACCTGCGCACAATGACACAGTCGCTGGTGACTCTGGCAGAGGACAACATGGCCTTCTTCTCGAGCCAAGGCCCTGGGGAGACAGCACGGCGGCTGTGGGATGTCTTTGCTGGCATCCGGGAGCAGGCACTGGGGCTGGAGCCACCCCTTGGCCACTTGCTGGGCAAGGCACACCTCTTTGACCTGGATGCAGAGACGCCGGCCAACGGGTTCCGCAGCCTGGTGCACACAGCCCGCTGCTGCCTGGCGCACCTGCTGCACAAATCACGCTATGTGGCTGCCAACCGCCGCAGCATCTTTTTCCGCACCAGCCACAACCTGGCAGAACTCGAGGCCTACCTGGCCGCCCTCACCCAGCTCCGCGCTCTGGCCTACTATGCCCAGCGCCTGCTGGACACCAACCAGCCGGGGAGGCTCTTCTTCGAGGGTGATGAACGGCTCATCGCAGACTTTCTGCGCGAGTACGTCACGTTGCACAAGGGCTGTTTCTACGGCCGCTGCCTGGGCTTCCAGGTGAGCCCCCTGCCCTGTCCCTCTGGGCCCATGGTGAAAGCACCCAGTGGTCCCTCACCTGGCCCAATAGTACAGTAGAATAACCCCAATAGTCAGTATTATTGGATTCAGAAAACTGCAGAATCACAAAGGGGAAGCTGTCTGGGGCTCAGACAGAGCTACACGGGGGTCTCAAACTTGTGGCCCCCAGGCCAAATCTACCATAGTAAGCAAGCTTTACCTGGCATAGCTTTTTGCACAAGTCCCCACTCCTTTCCATCATCCTACACTCAGGAGATTCATTCACTCTTTTGGGACCTGTCTGGCCTCTGAAGTCATTTAAGTTTGAGACGCTAGGAGAATAGTCAGTATTGTTCTCAAAGGCCCATCAATAGGAGCACGCCCCATTTAGTCATCCCACTGGAGGCATGGGAGGCAGGGAGGAAGGGTGCTAGCCCCATTTTATGGAGGTTCAAGGGGAGAGGGCCCACAGCTGCTGGACTGCCCCAGGTCTGGATGGGCTTTTTTTTTTTTTTTCGGAGGAAAATTAGCCCTGAGCTAACTGCTGCCAATCCTCTTTTTGCTGAGGAAGACTGGCCCTGAGCTAACATCCATGCCCATCTTCCTCTACTTTATATGTGGGACGCCTGCCACAGCATGGCTTTTGCCAAGCGGTGCCATGTTCGCACGCGGGATCCAAACCGGGGAACCCCGGGCTGCTGAGAAGCAGAACGTGCGAACTTAACCACTGCACCACTGGGCCAGCCCCGTGGCTGGGCTTTTTGACTCACCTGAGGAGCTGTAGAATCAGAATCTTTAGGCTGTGGAGAGGGCCAAGGAACACATCTGAGTTGGTGACAGTGAGGAAGACTTATTTGTGGTCCCTCTCCTCCCTGAACCAGGGCCCGGACCCCCAGCTGCAGGTCTTCTCCTACCCTCAGCCACCCCAAACCAGCCTCGAGAAACACAGCTCATCTCAGCACCAACAGCGAGGCAGCCCAAAGGCCTTCAGATTCATAGGAAAAGTAGTTTGGGCACTCCGAACTGGGGGGCCTTGAGGCACTAGGCTCAGAGCAGAGGCCTAACTTGCTTCTGTCTGGGGTCAGTGCCGGGTCCTCCAGTCACTAGCCATATCAGGGAACCCCAGCAGGAGTAGCTGGAGCTATGTGGCCCGGTAGCCCTTCAGACCCTCTCTGGGCCTCCCCCACCTTAGTGACAGCTGAATTTGGCAGCCTCTCAGCCTCCATCCCACCTCACCTTTTCACACTTCCCCATAGGGCAGCCTGTCCTCACCAATCCAGCCTGGGTGTTCCTGGGAATTTCCCTTCACCTAAGCTAAACCCAGAAATATTGATCAGCCCAGCTGGGCCAGTTGGCTCCTGCCTGTGTCCCGGCCATGACCTTGGAGTCACAGGAGAGAGATTCCGGGGCCACCAGAGCCAGCATCCCAGCCACAATGGCCAGGCACCCCTGTGCTCTATGGCCCACTGGGCCCCTGGCCAGGGGCAGGGCTATGCCTCACAGCTACCCTGTGAGGGCCCAGGTGTGCTGTGTTGCATGACAGCCTCCACGTGTAAAATGTCAGCCCCAGGAGGGCAGAGGCCTCCTCTCTGGATCTCGCTCAGCCCCTGCTCCCACCCAGTGCCTAGCACGCAGCAGGACCTAGGCCAGTATTTGTTGAATGAACAGAAGAACCCTGCTGGCCCCTTGCCCAGCCTCCTGTGGCTTTTTTTCTGACCTTGTCTCCCTGTTGTCTTTTCTTAGCTGCCCAGCTCCTCTCTCAGACACTGTGTCTCCCCGTTTGACTGTCTTTCTGCCTCAAGATCTCTGGCCCTATCTGTCTTTGACCATCTTCCACCTGTCTTTCTGCTGCCCCTAACTGGTCCCTATTGCCTGCTTCACCTCATCTCTGTCCTCACTGATTTTTAGGAAATCCCTGCATCATCTTACTCTCAGCTCACAACCTTTCGGTGACTCCACCCCACGTCTGGAATAAACCCAAATTCTTCAGACCCTGTGTGAGTCCCTTTGCTTCTGACCTCACCCCCTGCCCTCTCCCCTGCTCACTCTGCTCTGGCCATACTGGCCTCTAGCTTTCCTTCTCCACACCAAGCACCGACCCGCCTCACAGCCTTTGCACTTGCTATGTCCCCTGCAGGGAATAGCCTTCCCTTGCTTCATTCGGATCCCTCAAGTCCCATCCTGGAGACCCTTCTAAGTAGCCTGACCCCTTGTCGTCACTGTGTCCCCTCCACCTACTGTCTTTTCAAAGCATTAGTCATTACTTGACATTATATGGCATGTCTTTATTTGCTTATTGTCTGTCTTCCCTTCGACAGCATCAGCACCATGAAGGCACTAGAGCAGTGCCTGGTACACAGTGGGAGCTCACTAAGTGTTTGCTGAATGACTGCGCCATACCCCCTCCCCGTCTCTGCCCCTCACTCCTGCTGGCCCCTCTTCCTCTCCTGGGCACTGGGTGACGCAGTGGCATCTCTCCACAGTTCACACCCGCCATCCGGCCATTCCTGCAGACCATCTCCATTGGGCTGGTGTCCTTCGGGGAGCACTACAAACGCAATGAGACGGGCCTCGGTGAGTCCTGGCCAGGCCCTGATGAAGTCTCGCCTCCCCACCTGTCCCTCCTCCCCACCCCTGCCCCAGCAGCCTGACCCACCAGGCTCCCTGATGCTCCTCCCCACCCCCAGGTGTGACTGCCAGCTCCCTCTTCACCAGTGGCCGCTTTGCCATCGACCCAGAGCTGCGTGGGGCCGAATTTGAGCGGATCACACAGAACCTAGACGTGCACTTCTGGAAAGCCTTCTGGAATATCACTGAGATTGAGGTGCTATCGGTGAGCATAGGGCCCAATGAGAGCCCCAACCTGTTACAAAATGGGGATACTGAGGCCCAGAGACCCAACCCAGGCCACCTCAGGTCTTTGCAGGGCTCCAGGCCCAGGGATGGCACATGAGGGAAAAGACTGGGGGTCCAAGGGAAGGTGTCAGGGAAACCCCTACAAGCAGCCCCTTCCCAGCACCCCTTCTGTTCCCTCCCCTCAGTCTCTAGCAAACATGGCATCGGCCACCGTGAGGGTAAGCCGCCTGCTCAGCCTGCCACCAGAGGCCTTTGAAATGCCACTGACGGCTGACCCCAAACTCACAGTCACCATCTCACCCGCCTTGGCCCACACAGGCCCCGGGCCTGTCCTCGTCAGGCTCATCTCCTACGACCTGCGTGAAGGACAGGTAAGGCCCTAGCCTCAGCCAGTAGCAGGTACAGAGCCAAGGAGCATAGGCAGTCCCCTCCCCAGGAGCTACCCCCAGACACCCTCTCGCCTCTCTGTTCACACCCGTACCCCCTCCTGTCTCTGAGCACATCCACTGGGTGGGGTGAAGTACAGGCAGGCCACCCGAGCCTCACCCGCCTCCTCCTCCCTCACCCTGCAGGACAGTAAGGAGCTCAGCAGCCTGGTGAAGTCCGAGGGTCCGCGGAGCCTGGAACTGCGGCCACGTCCCCAGCAGGCACCCCGTTCCCGGTCCCTCGTAGTGCACATCCACGGCGGCGGCTTTGTGGCCCAGACCTCCAAATCCCACGAGCCCTACCTCAAGAGCTGGGCCCAGGAGCTGGGCGCCCCCATCCTCTCCATCGACTACTCCCTGGCCCCCGAGGCCCCCTTCCCCCGTGCGCTGGAGGAGTGCTTCTACGCCTACTGCTGGGCCGTCAAGCACTGCGCCCTCCTCGGTGAATCCCAGCCCCTCACTGACACCCGCTCCCCCTTCCTAATCCAGCCTGCTTCAGCCCCCACCTCATACTGCAGGGGGAGTGAGCCATCTAGTGGCTCAAGCCTCAGTCTCTCACCGCAGCCTCCCCTTCCATCTCCTACCACCCAGCCCTCTGCCACATGTTTACCCCCACCCCTACCCCTCTCCTCCATCTCTGCCTCAGCGCTTTCCCCCACTGCCCCTCTGCTCACCCAACCTTCCATCTCAACCACTTCCTCCTGTGCCTCCTGCTCCCCCACTCCAGCCCTGATGCTCCATCCCCTCCACCTCTCCATCTCCTCTGACCTTGTCTTTCCTCCTCCTGTTTCTCCATCCCTGCTGTCCTACACTGGCCCAGCTCCAGCCCATTCTTCTAGCTCCTCTGACCTCTGACTTCCGACATCTTGGGAGGCGCAGGGCAGGGCAGGGCCACGCCTGTGGCCCTTCTGTGCTGTCAGCCTGAACCCTGGCCTTCCATCTCCTGGCCTTGGATGCCCCTCCCTCCCGAAATGGCCCTTAGTCTCTCCTTTCCTACCACCCACCCTCCTTGCTTCTGACCTCCAGCCTTGCAAGCTTCCCCAGAGCTTCCTGATCTCTGGGCCCCTCCATGTCCTAAGTCGGCCTGATCCTCTGACCACTGTCCTCCAGATGGGTCCAAATCCTTCCCTCAGTCTACCAGTCTCTAAAATTGCAGTTGGCTAGACCTCAGGCTTGGGGCCCCCAAGCCCCAGGTCTGAGAGCCCAGGGCTCCTGGCCCAGAGCTCGAGTTCCTCCCTGCCAGGCGTGACCGAGCCCCTCCTTCAAACCAGGCTCCACAGGCGAACGGATATGTCTCGCAGGGGACAGTGCAGGTGGGAACCTCTGCTTCACCGTATCCCTTCGGGCAGCAGCCTATGGAGTACGGGTGCCAGATGGCATCATGGCAGCCTACCCGGCCACAATGCTGCAGTCTACCGCCTCTCCTTCCCGCCTCCTGAGCCTCATGGACCCCCTGCTGCCCCTCAGCGTGCTCTCCAAGTGTGTCAGCGCCTATGCTGGTAAGGTCACACCCACAGACCTGGGGGCCTGGTGGTACTTGGATGCCTGGGTCCTGCAGGGACAGGGGCTACAGCCCAGTCTCCTGGGTCTAAGGGAGGAGGGGCTGAGGAGAGGAATCTGAGATCCTACTGAAACGATCAGATATTCTTGGGTCCCTGGGGACACAGATACCTGAAGTTCTGGGTGTTGAGAAGGGGCCCAGAAAGAGAAGAGACCAACTCAGGCCCACATACACTCCACAGGTGGGGAGACAGAGGACCACTCCGACTCGGACCAGAAGGCACTGGGCATGATGGGGCTGGTGCGGCGGGACACAGCTCTGCTCTTGCGGGACCTGCGCCTGAATGCCTCCTCATGGCTCAACTCCTTCCTGGAGCTGAGCAAGCACAAGGCCCACACCAACTTGGTTCCTGTGGTGGGTGAGTGAAGCCCTCCCCTCATAAACCCATCCACAGTGGCCAGGAAGGACAGCCTGGCACACCAAAGTCTTGGGGGAGTTAAGGGGCCATGGCCTGGGCACACAGGGAAGCAGAGATCACCTTTGGGTTCTGCCCCCTATCCATCCTTGGTCCCTACCACAATATCTTGATTTGCCACTACAACCCACATCTGGAAAACCTAGGACTTCTGGTCCCCCAGGTCATCTCAGAGTCCTAGGAACTATAGGATTTAGCCTTCCAAACAGCCTCTGCCAGAAAGGCACCCTGGGAAATGACTCAGAGGCCTACCACATGTCTTCATTCTCACTCCCAAGAACACCAGCCCTTAGGCCCTCAGGTGGGAGTGCAGCCCTCCTAGATTCTTTCCAGACCTTTAACAGACGCCTGTGGGGGTAATACCCACCTCCAGGGGCTGGCCTAGGAGGCTGGGGTGGCCAGATTAGCACAATGGACAGACCTCAGGAAGTGGAGGAGATTCCCAGCCTTGGGTGGGTGGCAGGACCCTCAGGCAACCAAAAATCACTTCCATCCAGGGATCTATTTTTCCCCCACCTTTTTTTTAACATCTTAAGAATTTTGAAGTACAATCAACCAACCAACTTTCTATCTCTAGCAAATCATTATTTCCTAAGTAGTAGGAATTGCATGTTCAAAAGTAAATGCAGTTCCTATTATTCAGAAAATTATTCCAATTGGGTGTTTTATTTTAAATTAAGTTTTTCATTTTAGGATATTCAAATAGATACAAACTACACACAAAAACAATTAAAAGGGATTTGAATTTTAGGCACATGGACCATTGAGCACTGGGGTTTTCCTTGTAGGATATGGTGACAAGTGGGCCCCTAGAGGCACACATGTCAGTCTAGCTCCTTATGGTACCAGGTACTCACTGGCTGCTGGATAATGTAAGCAAATATCGGTATCTGTGAGCCTTGCTTTGCTCCTCTGTGACATGGGTGCAGTAAGAGTACCTGCCTCATAAGGCTGTTGTAAGGACTGCATGCGCCTCTTTGTCAAGCACCCAGCACAATACCTGACACACAGTAGGTGCTCTTGGGAGATTCTGGCACCTGTGACTGGCTGTGCCCTGTGACTCTAGTCAACAGTTCTGTCCCAGTGACCCTCTGGGTCATGATGCACTTCTGCAGTTCTTCTCATATCACCTTGCATTTTGCCTTCATGGATTTATAAAGACAAGTGAAAAAACTAAAAAATGTAGGGTCCTGGCCCTAGTGGTAAGCAGCAGGGGTCTGATAAAACTACTGGAGCTGAGGCCAAGGTAGGCACACCAAGCCGGCCAGATACACATCTTTAGCATCATTTGAGTACTTGCTTGCCTGGTTACTCCAAGGGAAGGGACAAAACTGAAGAACACAAAGGAAATTTGGAGGGCAGATCTATGTGGCTACAGGTGTAGGTTCCCTGGGAATCTAATATATCCCCAAGACTCTTTTTAGCACCCTGTGAACAGAGCCTCCTTTCAAGTCATGTGGGCCTGCCACGTGGCCACAAAGCCATCACTACTCCGCTTTGATCCATTCCATACCTTCTGTGTCAAGTGGCCATAAAAAGTTGGCTGGGTCTCACGCTGGGGCCAGGGAGGCAGCTAGAACAGGGCACCAGGCCTGGTAATAAAACCTTAATGTTGACATGACCTCCCAGAGAGTAGCAGTACCTAATCCCGTATCTTATCCCACTGAGTCCTCACCACCTCCTGTGAGATAAGGACTATTTTTATCCCTTTTGTACAGAGGAGGAAACTGAGGCTCCCAGAGGTAAAATGACTTGCACTTAACCTTCCCAGTCACATACACACACACCCCCCTCCACTAGGACACAGCTCCACCTCCAAGACCTAATGACTCCTTCCACCCCTACCTTAAGAGTTGCAGCCTGGGGCACTTGGAGCTCCCCACCCATCCCCAAGGAAGGAGTCTTGGGGAGCACTCTAGGCCTCCACAGCCCTAGGATGCAGCTCCTCCTCCAGAGGCTACAGCCCTTCCCATGACCTTCCCTGCCAGCCACCCACATACCCAACCAGCAGAGCCAGGTGTATCTGGCCAGCTTCCTGACCCTGTTCCTCTCCCAGAGCCAATGCGGCGCAGCGTGTCTGAAGCAGCACTGGCCCAGCCTGAGGGCCCTCTGGGCACAGACTCCCTCAAGAGCCTGACACTGCATGACCTGAGCCTAAAGGGCAGCTCTGAGACATCGGAAAACCCCGAGCTGTCGCTGTCGGCAGAGACACTTGCCTCCTCCACACCCTCGGATGTCAACTTCTTACTTCAGTCAGAGGGTACAGTGGAAGCGGCTAAAGCCCAAGAGGAGATGAGCACGAAGGACAGAAGCCGCGGCGTGGGGGCCGCTTTCCCTGAGGGTTTCCACCCAAGGCGCTCCAGCCAGGGCGCAACACGGATGCCCCTCTACTCGTCGCCCATCGCCAAGAATCCCTTCATGTCACCGCTGCTGGCACCAGACAGCATGCTGCAGAGCCTGCCGCCCGTGCACATCGTGGTAAGCGCCAGACCAGGACATTGCATCCGCGAGGAGTGGGGCGGGTGGGGTCCAGGCGCACCTGGGGAAGAGAACTCCCGGGAGGGGGAAGAGGTAGGAAGCCCAGAAAGAGATGTGCCATCAGGAGGGAAGGCCTGGCAAAGGGAGGACGGAAGGGAGTCAGGATTGCCATTTTCTTTTGCAATCTTGAGCACCAAGGGGCAGTGGGGCAGCCGCTGGGCTTGGAGAGTCAGGGAAGGGGAAAGAGAGACGGTGGATCTCTGGAGGAAGGGAGAAGCTGGGTAGAGGCCAGGGAGCCCAGTTAAACTCATTCTCTAACTCTTCCCCCCACCCGTGTCCATGTGTCCCCCGACTCCCCGCGTCCCGCAGGCGTGTGCGCTGGACCCCATGCTGGACGACTCGGTCATGTTCGCGCGGCGGCTGCGCAGCCTGGGCCAGCCCGTGACGCTGCGCGTGGTGGAGGACCTGCCGCACGGCTTCCTGAGCCTGGCGGCGCTGTGCCGGGAGACGAGGCAGGCGGCGGCGCTGTGCGTGGAGCGCATCCGCCTCATCCTCGCTCCGCCCGACCCCCGGGCAGCCGCAGCGCCGGTCTGAGCCGCCAGCCCAGGCGGACGGCGCGGGGAGATGGGGGCTGCGGGAGGGCGACACTAAAAGCTTCTTGTTCGCATCTGTGCGTGGAGCGCATCCGCCTCATCCTCACTCCGCCCGGCCCTGCGGCGCCCGCAGCGCCGCTGCCGCTGCCGGTCTAAGCTGCCGGCCGAGGCAGACTGCGCGGGGAGACGGGGGCTGCGGGAGGGCGACACTAAAAGCTTCTTGTTCCCATCTGCGCGGGCCTCGGTAGTGAATGTGCTCTAGGATTGGTGGCGCTCTGGGGTGGGCATCAGGGACCCCTACAAGGGGCTGCTGGTCTATCTGGCCCCTCCCTAGGGCCGGGCGGGAGTGGACGAGCTGTGCCTTACGTCAGGGACTGCAAGGTGGGCCGGGCGAGGACCGAAAGAAAGCTGAGACCTTGGCCTGGGGGTGGGGGTCGGGGGCAGGGAACACGCACACAAACCAGCCTGAGACTGTTGGACCTGCACTCCACCATTGCCTTCTACTGCTGCACCGACTGCCGCAGGGGCGGGGGCCTGGCCCTACCTTGCTGGTCGGTTTGGTTTTGTTTGTAAATAAAGTATTTAATTAGTTTGACTTCTCTCAAATAGAGTAGGGGTTCGCCCACCAGGGGGCAGCATCGGACTCTGCTGCTGCGAACTGAGAAACCTGGGACTGGAGAGTAGAAGGCTGGGGGCCCAACTTCTGAGTCTGAAGGAGGGGTCTGCGGCCCTGGATTCTTGGGTAGCGAGGGACTGGACTTCCCTGCTAACATGACCCACCTCCCCCTCAAACTTAATCAAGTAGAGTGCCAGAGGACTCTCAGTTCTCAACTCCTCGCTTTATAAACTCATCCCCGGCACCCACCCAGGAAAGAAAACCCACACTCCCTATAGAACTGGAGCAAAGCTAACAGGAAACCAGAAACAACTGGTCACCCACGATACTAGAAGCCCCAGCTGTGACAGTGACTCAGTCCCTCAACCAAGACTCTGAGGCCTTGCCATTTTGTAGGTCCTGGGTTTTGAGCAGAGATGATTTCTATCCAGGGCCTACTCTCAAGAGACTCGGGGAGGGGCAGGGAGAGATCACCCAGACACAGGCTGTCAACAGCCCCCAAGGGCTCCATCTGTGGTAGTCAAGGAGGGCTTCACAGAGGAGGTGATCCAAGCTTGACCCTAAAAGATGAGCACAAGTTTGCTAGGCAGAAGAAACAATGTTGTGAGAGCCAATGGACAGTGATCAAGGCCTCTCCTGGCCAGATGAGGTGCAAAGTAGAGAATGGACTGAGGGGCCCCGAGTGGTCAGGAGCAGATCCTGAAGGGCCTGGAGTGCAATTTGGACTATAAGTGGAGGGCTTTGGGAGCCACAGAAGGGCTTTGAGCAAGGGAGGGACAGGATCAGCTCACGGCAGTGAAGAGACTGCTGGGACATTGGGGGATGGACTGAAAAGGGCAAGACTGAAGCCCCAAAGGCAAAGGAGGAAGCTGGGGGCAAGGAAAGACCAGGCCTGGGCTGAGGCTGTGCCCATGAGGGTGGGGAGCAGGAGTAGGAGTGGAGCAGATCCAAGAGCCATAACTGAGGCTGGATGAATAGGATTTATTGAGGGTGGAGTGGAGATTACAGGAGAGCATGGGGACGAAGATGACACTTGGGTCTGGCTGGGGGAGCAGATGGAGAGGGAGGCTGTCTCTTTATGGGAGGAGGCTCAGTTGTGTACCAGGCAGGTAAGAGGTGCTGAGGGCTGTTTTGCACATGGAGAGATCAAAAGGTCTTCGAGACAATCCAAGGGAACATCCAGAAGGCAGCAGGAGGCAAGAGAGCAGGCTGGGCATTCACTTCTGGCTGGAGCTGAAGGACTAGAACCTGTCCAGGAAGAGTGGGCAGATGGGACAAGCAGGCTAGGACAGAGAGAGTCCGGAGGACCATGGTCCCCAGTAAAGAAGTAGGCAGTGAATGGTGAGTCCTGGAGGGTTGTAAGGAGCTGCTGGAGAGGGAAGAATCTAACCAGGAAAGAAGAGGATGCAAAGCAAAGGGACTGTCAGGCGGGAGGGAGTGGTCTGCCTCAGATAAGGACTGTTCACCTCAGGCCTCAGCAATGAGCAGGTGGGTCCTCAGGGACCTTGTCCAGAGCCATTGGAGGGCCATGGGAGGTAGGCAGCCAGACGTGGAGGGTTGAGGAGGGAGTGGAAGGTAAAGGACTGAGCCAATGGGTACCACAAGCCTTTAGCTATAAAAAGGTTGAGAGAGAATTCAAGGGAGCTTGATGCAAGTTGTTTTTATGTGTGTGTTTAGAGATGATAGAAAATGTTTTAATGTTGCCAGGGAAGGAAGGGAAAGACATTGGAGCAGAAATACAAGAAAGCAGTCCTGGGGATGGAGAGAGGGGCATCCTTACCTCAGAGGCCCTCATTGACCCAACAAGTGACTTCTGAGTCAGGGCCTGTGATGGGAGATGGAGCCATAGCCCAGAACTCTCCCTGAAGGTCCAGATCCACTGGCCCGAGTCACAGTTCCGCCCGAGTTCCAGCTCATTGGATCCCTTGCTTATTTCTGCCAAAATAGTCATTACCCACCAACTGTTCCTCTTTCCTGTCCCCATCTCAGGGATGACGCCATCATCCCCAAGTCCTCTAGGCCAGAGTTCTGGGTCTTGTCCTGGACATCCCCCCACCCCATAGCCCATCAAGCCCCATATTCTGTTCTTTCTGCCTCCTGAATCTCTGCCTTATCCCCTCGGCCTGTGGCCTAATCCAGGTTCCATCCTCTTCTTCTTGGGTCCCTGCCCAAGTCACCTTCTGGGCTACTGGCTCCCAGTCTCATTCCTCCAGTTCTGGCTCCAGCTCTGACCCAGTCCTCCCCTGCTCTAAACCCTTCCATGGTTCGTTAATACCCCCCCTCCCCCACCCCGGGCCTCAGGACAAACTCCAAGCTCCTCAGCCTGGCCTCTGCTTACCTTTTCATCCTCTTCCAGCCTTACAGTTACCCAGGCGACAGGGGCCGGACGCCTTCCGCTTGGGCACCACAATAAACTCCTGCATGCCTCCCTGTCTTTGTTCATGCTGAAACACTGTCCCCTACGCTCTTCACCACCTTTGCTTGGCACCTCCTGCTCCTCCAAGACCCGGCTTCAATGGCCCCTCCCCTAAAAACCCTTTCCTGACCACGCCAAACCCAAAAAAACTCTCCTGGACTCCTCCACTTCAGCACATCCCTGCCCATCAATGTGTCAGTCTGTCCTCCCATCTGACCCGGGCTTGTTGAGGGCAGGGCCCAGGCCTGACTCATCTTGGTCACTACCATCGCCCAGCACGCGGCCTGCCACACCGGAAGCCTCAGGAAATTTATTTAAATAATGGGTGGCTGAGGGTGTGCATGAGCGAGTGTGAGTGAGTGGCTCTACCAGGAAATCAGTGAGTGAGGGAATTAATGAGGGCAGGAAGGACTCAACGGATGGGTGAACAGGACAAGCAGGAGCCCACGAGAATTAGGTGCAGGGTGGGAGGAGTGGAAAGGATGAATATCTGAGATTGTGCTTCCTGAGCTCAGTTTCTCCAACAAAGCAAAATGGATAGTCGCCCCGGCTAAGCTCCCCTCTCCGCCTCGAGCCTCACCAAGTACCACTGTTTCCCAGCCGAGCTATGTCCAAAGTCGCAATACCAGGCATGCTGGAAAGGGTTTACCTGGCCGGATCCTCAGAACCTGTTCCCTCACAAGCCGGCTCCAGCCTCTGCGGAGCGGGCTTGTATTCCTACTCCGCAGGTTCCCGGCCTATTGGCAGGCTGGCAGGACTGGCGTCTTCAAGAGCCTATCGCTGTCCGACTTGGGCCGTGGCCCCGCCTCCAGGGAACGCGTCTTGTGTGGCCCGGGGAGGTAGGAGGTGGAACGTGTCTATTGGCTGGATGATAGTGATTGACGTCATGGGTAGCTTATCACAGCTAGATTCCGGAGGCCTCCCGTGTCAGACCCGCCTCTGGAAAGACAGGATGGGGACGTAGTTGAGGGCTCGGCCGACTGCAGAAGGGCCATGAATGGGGTTTCTGGCGGCACGTACCTGGGCTCTTCGCTGGCCTGAGCCTGTCCTGATGGAGCATGGGGACTTGACTCCAAACTCCTTGCTCCTGAGGGAGGAGGGGACGGAGGACCCGAGAGAAGGGACTGGGGACTTGAGGGAGGAGGAACTGGGGCCGAGACCTCTGGGTCTGAAGTAAGAGGCTGAGCGTCTGGATTCCTGGATCCTGAGGGAAAAGGGAGCTGGGAACTTAAAAGGTCGGCGTCTAGAAACGGGGACTCCTGGGTCCCAAGAGTCACTGGCCTGCCCAGGGATGACAGATTTGCGGTTTAAGATTTTATATGGCTATTTATGGGATTGGAGCCAAGCCTTGGCCCCAGGCAAGAGTTCTGGGTCTTGTGGTGGGGCTTGTACTAGAGTTGAAGAAGAGGCTTAAGGGAAGCTGTGGCCTCAATATGTCCTTTCCTCATCCCTAAAAGGGAAGCCAAGGGCGGGGTGCTGTCTGCAAAAGGCACGCAGAGCAGGAGACTTGAAACTCACGTGGAGACAGAAAAACAGAGATACCAATGGAGAGATTAAAATATTGAAAACAATAATAATAGAGCTCTCTTGTATGGAGTTTACTGTGGCTAAGCATTTTACATAATTATCTCATGTCTTCCTAGTAACAACTCTAAGAGATTGGATTATTATTATTATAATCTCCATTTTACAAGTGAGAAAATTGATGCCTAGTGAGAGAGAATCAAGATATAGATGTAAAACGACAAGAGAGACAAAACACAGATGGAAATAAACAAAGAGATAAACACAGACAAGCCTAGAGACAAAATAAAAGATAGACAAGCGAAAAAAGGAGAGAGGCTGAGAGCCAGGACTTGGGGGAGGCGGGGCGCAGGAGCTAGGGCCTGGGACTCCTGGATCCTGAGGGAGGAAGGACCAAGGAAACTCTCGGGTATTTCTTCCCCTGACTACAAGATATCAGGCTTGTCCTATCCTTCCTGCTGTGGGTGCTGGGCCTGGTTGGGGCCAAAAATAGTGATTAAGGGGGGCAGATGTGTCATTATCCTATTAGGAGGAGATAAGAAAATGATTCATAAGGGTGCCCCAGGCCTGGGAGGGGCCTTTCCCCCATGGTCCTTGCTCTTTGATCTGGACAGATCAGGCCTAGGGAGGCCCCAGGAGGGGTAGGGTCCTCTCTGTCACTCTCCATCGCTGCATCTCCATCACTCAGAACTGTCACTGAGGTCCACCATGGGGAAGCCTGGGCCACTCTGGGACAGCCACAGCTTTCCTTGTGGGTCTCCATCTCTCTGGGTCTCTACTTTCCCCTAGACCAGTGCCCTCCAGAGATCAGGGCACATAGCAGAGGCTCAACAAATGCTTATGGGATGGATGGACAAACACCTACACCTCTCTGTGCAGCTCTTTCTCTTTCCCTGCCTGCCATCTCTCTCTGTGTCCCCATCATGATTCTCAGCCTCTCCCTGGCCTCATTCATCTCCTCCCACCATCCCTTTCACCTTGCGTTTCTTCTGAAGCCTCTGGGCCCACCATCCCTGTTAGAGAGAAACTGAGGCTCATTTTGAAAGGAGTCACCCTCCCAGGGTCCCCTGTAGGACATGTAAAGGAGTAGCTGAGAGAGAGGTTCTCCAGTCCCCAATACAGACACACTTCTGTCACCTCAGAGTCAGAAAAGCAAGATCACATCAAACATGTGCTCTTAAAACACCCATTTGGTAGGATCTTGCATTTGCACCCACATAATCAGAGAATCACACACACAGCACATACAATCACCTATGAACATAAACATAAGCACACAATCACAGAGTCACGGCACTGACAACACACACAGAAATAGCCTATTCCACATGCAAAACAGACACCCTAGTTATACAATCATATGCCAAGCCACTGACAGGCTGCTCATCCAATCCATCCTAGGACCATGAGCAAAGACTTGGTCTTGTTCACTATTATCTCCCCAGCATGTAGAACAGATCATCATCATCATCACCATAAACACAAAAATGTTCCCTACGTGTCAGGCACAATTCTAAGCATTTCACAAGAATTAATTTGTTTAATCCTCTCAACAACTCTGTTCACAACAACTCATTTTGCAGATGGAAAAATTGAGGGCCAGGGAAGTTTAGTGACTTGCCCAAGGTTTCACAGCCAATAAGAAGCTATCAGGATTTGAAGTCAGTGTTCTGCCTCTGGAGTCCATCACACAACGATGCCACTCAATAATTCCCACCTGAATCCAGTTAGAATTACAGAACCTCAACAGCTGAGACCACACCCAACACAGGTGCACCATGCATACATAGACTCACAGAAGGGCAATATAGATACAAACAGAAAAGACCCCTCATGTGTCACACCCCAGAAGAGGAACACTCAAAGAGAGACACATTGTGACAATCCCCACACAGACGCACAGCAGCCAGAGAGGCACGCACCACACAGAGAGACACAACACACCCAAACCCAGACTAGTGACACACCCAGAGCACCCCGAGTCCATCCTGTTGTGCTCCCAGCCCTGCTGGACTGGCCTTTGAGGAAGCAGCAGGCTTAGGATGGGAAGGGGGGCCACCTCACTTGTCCGCTCAGCCTGACCGGTTCTACCAGGGCCATGGATGGCACCACCTGCCTTGTGAAACCCGTGTTAGGCAACTGGACCCAGACCTGGCCTGGATGTCCCAAATATTGGATGGAACATACTTATACTTAAAAAGTATTTGTTGTTTATCTGAAATTTAAATTTAACTGGGTGTCCTGTATTTTATCTGGCAACTCTATTTGAGGGGGATGGAGGCCAGATGCCTGAAGACTCTGCCATGGTCACTCTTCAGTCTGCAGGCCTCTCCTCCTCCTGCCTGCTGCCCTCCTCCTCACCCCCAAGCAGGCCACCTCACTGCTTCCCTGGTTCTGATTTCCTCATCTACATGAATTGCTGTATCTAATTGGAGCCCCCAGGCTGTGTCAGAGTGAGTGCAGGAAACTCAAGGACAACTCAGGATGTCATCCTGAGAGCCCCAGGGTCCTCAGAGATGACTGACCCTGAGTCACCTGCAGCCCATGGTCTGGACAGCTGGGGAGATCGGGCCCTTTGGCTGCCTCCGTGGGACAGAGCCTGGAGATGGAGAGAGATGGTAAGACAGGAGACAGAGACCCCAGGATAAGGGCAAGAGACACAGAGCTTGGGAGAAGAGAGACTCAGAAATGGGGACAGCGAGAACCAAAGAAATTTGGAAACAGATTTTCAGAGATGAGAAAAGAGAGAGAGATTCAGAGCTGGTGAGACAAAGATGCAGAGATGGGGAGACACTGTGCAGAGATGGGACACTAGAACAGAAAGGGAGAGATGTTCCCCAGACATTCAGGCTCCAAGACCAAGTAATGGACATGCACAGGCAAGATGCTGAGTGCTGCCCATAAAGCACTGGGGGACAAGGACAGCAAGCCATCTGGGGATGCCAGGAGACCAAGGTTCAGGTCCTGGTGCATTGGCCCAGGGAGTGGAGGGAAAGAGGGGATCCCAGGCCAGCAGGGTGATCCACTTGCCATCACCCCATACCAATACCCAGTGGGGTGACGACACCACCTTCTCTTCAGCTGACACCCCAATTTTCTGGTGCCTCCTACATTTTTGGGGTGACACCCGTGCTGGGAACCCCACCCGGTTCTAACGCTGCTTACCTCACTGAGTCACCTCCAACCCCGCCAGGCCTGTTGAGGGGAGACTTTGGTGACTCAGGCAGCCAGGCCCCCAGCTCTTTCAGCCCTCAGGAACGCAGCAGTCTGGAATCCCAGGACCCCAACCCTACTCAGGGATGCAGCCTAGCCTAACCCAAGAGTGTGGACCCCCAGCCTCATCCTCCCTCAGACCCAGGAATCTGAGCCCCCTTTCCCTCCTCTATTAGGGTCCAGAGATCAGGCTCCCAGTGCCCTCCTCCCTCAGACCCAGGAGTGCAGGTCCTCGGTCCTCTGCTCTGTTACGACCCAGGGGTTCTGGGCCACATCCACCTCCTTCAGGAACCACGGCTTCTCAGTTCCCAGCCTTCTCCCTTCCCAATTTGGAGGTGGGGTGAGGTATGTTTATTTACTTTGATTCCAGCATGAGTCACCCCCAAAACACACTGCCCCCCCCCCATGTGCCCAGTGGCCCTGAATGGGAAGAAAATGCTCCCTCTCCCAGGGAAATGGGGACCTCACTAAGGATGCTGGGAGAGGCCTGGAAGGGGAATCCACTCTCTCTCACACCAGTAGCCTTTCTCCTCTCCCCCTGTCCCTTCCCTGTAAATGGCTGTGGTGGTCCTGCCTCCACCTACCTGCTCCTCCCCTTCCCATCCTTGTGTCTCTCTTTTCTGAATCTCTCTCTCCCTTTCTTGTTAATTCTCCCCAGATCTCTGTGGCTCAGCATTCTTTCTGCATCTCTCTCATCTCTTTATCTCTCTCTCCCATCTTGGCCCCCCCCCCTTGTGTCTCTCTGTCCCCCATTCCTATCCCATCTCTCTCCTTCTTTTGGTCTCTGTGCTTTGACCCAGCTGTGCCCCTTGTACCTTCTCTCTCCCTTCTCCCCCCCATCTCTCTGTCTCTCTCTACCCACTCCCCTTTCTATCTCCAGTGTCTCATCCCTGGATCCTCTACCCCATGATTTCCTCAGTCCTGTGAGACAGCGAGGCAGGAGGGGAGGTAGGGGGTTGGGGGATGGAAAGGGAGGGAGGGGAAGTCCCAGTTCGGGGAAGACTGGCTTGGCTCCCTGGGCAGCTCTGTCAGAGCTCCACCCAGGGCCCCATGGCCTGCCCAATATAAGTAGCTCCTGGCCGAGACTGAGAACTCAGTGCCGGTGTCACCCACATCTCTGTCTCCATCATCACCATCGCAGTCCTGCAGGTAGGAGCATCCGTCTGCAGCCTTCTGCTCTGAGGTTGGTGCTTCTGCTCTGTTCTCCCCCACCCCATTCCACTCCCATCTCTCTGTCTCCTTGCATGTCTCTGATGGTCTATCTCTCTGGACACCCCTGTCTTTCTCAATGCCTCCTTTATCCCCCCTTCTCAATCTGAGTGGCCCTGGATTGAATTTGGAAGTCCTGAGGTCCAGCTCCCTCTCTACTACTCCCCTTGGCCTAAGCCCTCAGATTTGGGGCATTTCTCTTCACCTCCCTGAGCCTCAGCGTTCCATCTGTGAAATGGGCTTGCAGAAAAGTCAAAGTGCTGGGCAGCTGTAAGCATTACTGCAGGCATCTCTATGGGCACCTGGCTCTGATCTCTTTCTCCCCTTGTCTCTGACTCTGCCTTTCTCTGTCTCTTGGTCTCTCTCTCCAGCTGTGCATCTGGTATGAGGAGGGTCCTCTGGGGTCTGTCGGGCAGCTATACAGAGATGGGCGAGTTTCTCGCCCCACCCCATACATCCCTACTCCAGTTTCTCCCGGCTGGCAGGCTGACTTGGCCTCTTTCTCCCCAGTTCCCTTCCCCTTGAGAATCCAGCCCCAAGCGTCCGTGCCCCTTGCCCTCCCTTCCCCTAGTATCCAGCATCCCTTGGACTCTGCTGCTCTCTCTGCTGTCACCGCTGCCACCTCTGCCATCCCCAACGCCACCTCCTCAGGGCCAGCAAGATGCAGTTTGAGATGCGAGACAACGTGAAAGGCAAAGGTGGGATCGCTGGATGGACCAGCCACCCTTCCAGTCCCTGGAACCTGGCCTCTTCCCTCCCCTGGGCACCCTGGCTTCGAAGACAGATGGCGCCTGCTTGCACCCCAGAGGCCCCGAAATGCGGGAACTCAGCACCCCAGGCCCAGACGTGGAGGAGGCAGCGGCACGTCTCGGCCCCGCCCAGATGTGGCGCCCACCCTTCCCCAGATGTACAGGAGCCCCCCACCCAAGCTCACCCAGATGTGCAGGAGGCAACAGCAACGGGGACAGACCGGGGTGTTGATGCCCAGATGTGGCAGAAGGGAAGGGCGAAGCACAACGGTGTCCCTCAGTGGGCGGCCTGGTGGCCCCGCCCATACTGCCCGGCAGAGGGAGGGACAGCATGGGTGCTGGGCCCGGGAGGCACCGCGAGGCAGCCCGCTGACCCCTGTCCTCCACCTCCGCAGCCATGTCCTACCCAGTGACCAGCCAGCCCCAATGTGCCAGCAGCAGCTACCAGACCCAGCTCAGTGACTGGCACACCGGTCTCACAGACTGCTGCAACGACATGCCCATCTGTGAGTGTCCCCTAGACCGGGGGGAGAGCAGGAGGGGAGGGGTCACCTCTCACCCCCTCCGACGCCCTACTAACCCCACTCCCACCTCCCTTCCTTGGACCCTGAATTCCTACTCTCTAACCCTCACCCCTTCCTCGGATGCCCAACACCGCCTAGCTTCCAACTCCCCTCCGACCCTCAACCTTCCTCCCGCTTGGACCTACAACTTTCTTCGTCGTGGCCCCGACTCCCCCTTCAAACATTATTTCCCGATCTCTAAACCACCCCCTCCTCAGACCCCTAATTCCCTCTGGCACCTTTACTTCACTTCTTCCAACACTCAATTCCCTCGGGCACCCTCATCTCGGCTCCGCGGACCCTCAGCCTCGCCCCTCCTCGAGGCGGAACCGGCAGGAGGCCCCGCCCTGACATCCCGGCGCCCGCCCTAGGTCTTTGCGGCACCTTCGCCCCTCTGTGCCTCGCCTGCCGCATCTCCGACGACTTCGGCGAGTGCTGCTGCGCGCCCTACCTGCCCGGAGGCTTGCACTCCATCCGCACCGGCATGCGCGAGCGCTACCACATCCAGGTGCGCACAGGGCCAGCCACCCGCGGGAGCAGGGGCTGGGGAGTGGCCTCCTGGGACGCAAGGCGGGCTCCTAACCTCTCTCTCCCACCCTCTAGGGCTCTGTCGGGCACGACTGGGCGGCCCTCACCTTTTGCTTGCCCTGCGCCCTCTGTCAGATGGCGCGGGAACTGAAGATTCGAGAGTAAAAAAGTTCTCTCCCTTCTCCTTTTCCACCTGTCACGCCTGGCCACCACTGCCCGCTCCTGGGAGGACCTGCCCCTCCCCCATATCAGGCCACCAGAAATACACCCGCAATAAAAACTTGAAAACCAACTCCGCCTACATCCATTTTGTCCCATGGAAGGAATCTGGGTGGAGAAGGAGGTATGGTGAGGGAGGAGGGGACACAAGGAAGATGCCTAGGTGTGGAAGGAGGAGTTCCTGCTGCGTATGACATTGGCAAGTCTCTTCCCTCTCCAAGCCAGGGAGTCCTCACTAACAAAGTAAAACCACTCACGCCTTAGCAGCCTACCTGAGACTCTGCCCAGATCCTAAAAATAAGCAAAACCAGAAACGCTGTCTTGGTTGAGTCCAGACACTCAAGTTCAGAGAAAAATTTAGGAGAGCCCCTCTGCTCATTCTAAACCTGTGGACTCTTGGCCTATACACAATTCTAACACGTTTGGAGGTCCTCTGTCCCCAGAGCAGAGAACTGCCCAATTTAAGGTTCTCTGGAGCTGAAAGGAATCCTTAACGATTGTCCAGTTCAACCCACCCTCTTTACTGCAAAAGCAACTAGCAGATTAGGAAAGGTCCTGGTCTCCAAACTGGACAGACCTAGGATCCAATCTTGACTCTTGCCACTTAGCTCCGTTATCTTTGTGAATTAATAAACCTTTCTGAGTCTATTTCCTCCTATGAGGATAATCCCTAATATGTCATATGGTGACTGTGAGAGCAAGAGATGGAAAGGCCAAAGAGTGAACTCAACAAACTGTTGTTGTTATTATTATTTTATGTATACTATTACAACTATTCTAATATTAATATATTGTTTGTATTATTTGCTGTTATCCATCTCTCTCTCTTTCTCTCTGGACCTGTGTATCCAACTATCAAATGACATCTTCACTCTGAATATCTAATAGGCATCTCAAATTTAACATGTCCAAAACCCAGCACTTGATTTCCCCCTCAAACCTGCTCTTCTCACAGTCTTCCCCATGTCAGGAAATAGCAAGCCTCGTCCTTCAAGTTGCTCAGTCACTTTGTCTCTCAATGTTCAATCTGTGGACAAATTCTCTTGGTTCTACTTTGGGAATATATCCACAATCACACTTCTCCCCACTCCACTGCCCCACCTTGCTCCAGCCACGCTCTTCTTCAGCCTAAATGAACGCAGGAGCCCCCCCGCCCCTTAGTCTCTTACCTGAGGAGGAGCCCAGAGAACACCTGAGTTAGGTCACAACCTTCCTGTGCTCAGAACCCTCTCATGGCTCCTCCCACACAGAGCACACACCAGAGTCCTCACTATGGCCAAGGACCTGCACGATCTGCCTCTTGTTCCCTCTGTGACCTTGTCTTCTCCTTATTCCCTCCACTCCAACCACATGAGGGCCTTTGCATTGGCTGTTCCCTCAACTTGGAATTCTCTTCCCTCAGATGTCCCTATGGTTCATTCCTTCATTCAGCTCACATGTTGTCCTATGCGAGAGCCTTCCCTTCCCACTTTACATTAAACAGCAAGTACCCTCTCCCCGCCTTCCCTGCCTTGTCCTTCTGGTCATCTCCCAACATACCGCATCCTTTACCTACTATTGGGGTTTCCACTGGCTTGTCAGCTCCATGAAAGCAGAGACCTTCTTCACTGCTGCATCCCCAGCACCTAGCACAGTGTGGGACCCATTGTAGGTGGAGATATGAGTGACCACAGGTGCGGGACATGGGCTTAGAAAAGGGAAGTGATTTTAGAGGTAATGTGTGAGGGTCAATGGAGAGTCACACAGGTTGTGTCTGAATCTTCGCTTGCCTATTAATCAGGCCTGAGTTCTTAGGCAAGGGACTTAGCTTCCAAATGCACAAAAGAGAGGAACAGAACTATAGCTCCCAGCAGTGATGTTGGGAAGATTAAAAGCCTCATGCCAAGCAGCCAGCACAGTGCCCAGATTGTTGTAGGCCCTTGGTAAAATGTCCCCCCCCCCCACCTTTCCTGAAGTCCATAGGGCGTCAGTGGCCACCCCTGGGCTCGAATCCAGGCCTCAAGCCTCCCATGCCAAGGCTTTCTCTCTTCCTGCCATGAACCTTGCACTCAGGTGCATGGAAACTGGAGAGAGGTGACAGCTGAAGGGCTGACATGGAGGGAGGAGGAACATGTGCTATGGGGCATTTGTACAGGGGCATCTGCACAGCAGTGACAGGAGTTGGAGGGAGAGTGGCTCTGCGTCCCAGAGGTCCAGTCACAGTGCAAATGCTCTGTTTAGGAAGGCAAAGTCACAGGGTGACGGCTAGGAAGAGCTCTCACCAAAGGGTCCAAGCATAACACAGAGGAGTCTTGAAGACCCACCTTAGTTCCTTCGTGGTCATGCAGGGTAAACTCTCCACTGGCTCCAAGACTCTCTCAGGCAGCGCATCCCGATGCTGGTTAGCTCCCCACTAGGGAAATTCTGTTTTATCTCCAGCAGAAACTGGCCATTTTGAACGCCTGTCCTTAGCTCCCACTCTGCTCTGGGACAGGTCTCAGCTGGGTTGACCTGTGCTATGTAAAGGGTTCCCTCCTAGGGCGGTGGAAGAGCATGCTGGTCAGGCACGTGGATCTGAGAGTCAGACGGCCTGGGTTCAAATGGCAGCTATCACTTAACAGCTAAATAATGTCTATGAACTTTTGTTTTCTCATCTGCAATATGGGGATTACACGGTACCTACCTCATACGGTGGTTTGAAGTGTCAAATGAAACCACAGCATTAATATGCCAGGGAAACTGTCTAGCATATGGTACTCAGTAAACACAAGTTCACAGTCATGTCTTGGAGGTTAGGTACTACCCTCAGCTCCTAAAGGCAAAACGTGTGGGCAGAATAATCCCTGAAAATCCCTTAAATTGCCATAAATTCTGAAAATACTATGATATTCACAGAACACACACACCACCTTAATCCAACTCATTGCCATGTCCTTGGCTAAACATCAGACGAAACCGCCAGCTTACGCCTAGGGGCCAGCTGGTACAGAGAGGTACACTGTTTGACACTCCTAGCAAGACTCCCACACTGAGCAAGGCTGCCAGAGGGGATAGAGACCTCCCGCTCCCACCTCTCCTCACATCAGGGCTCTTGCTTGCCCAGGGGAGTGGCAGATAAAGACTCCCATGATGCTTTCTGTTTGGGCAGTGAGAGCTTGCTTGAATTAGAGAGCTCACCGTGCTAGGGCCTCATTTCAGTCTCTGTGCTGCCTGAACTATTCTCTTACATCGGGGGCCAGAATTAAACCCAAGCCTGGGACTAAGGCAATCTGTTTCCCCTCCTGAGACAAACTGGGGTGTCCCTGTGACAGGGCCCTGGGGAAGGATCAAAGGCCTCATTGCCCTCACATCCCCTAGGTTTGTCCCTTCTGGGGAACAAGAGCTTCTGTAGTGGCATCACTCCAACTCCTGCCTAGAAGGGGCAGCAAGGAGCCAGGCCACGTGGCTTGGAGGGGGCACCACGACAAATGCATTTATCCAATTTATTCAGCGCTTGGGTGCTGGTTCTGAGAGCCAAGACACCCCATCTCTGGCATGTAGATAGCCCTTGGACACAAGCCTTCCCACACTCTTTATTTGTTGCATCCATTACTCCCCCCTCTTTCAGATGGCCTTTTAGACTGAGGCCCCCAGCAGAGGGGAAGACAGAGGGCCCAGCTCCCCAGGGTCAAGGCAGCAAGGGGATAGAGTCTTGGGAAAGGAGAATCCCAAGTTCAAGATGGCTAGAAGGGGGAGGGGGGCCTCAAGAAGAGGAGCTCAGAAGTCCAAGGTGGTAGCTGGGGCAGCCCAGTCTTCAAGGCAGCATTGTCTGGGAAGAAAGCTATACATTGATGACTCCACGTTTCTATCTCCAACCTTGGTATCCCCCCATGCCACACTGTGCCTCGGGAAGCATCTCCTTTGTCTCCTCGAGCTCCCTCTGAGCCAGGTGACCCTAGTCCTGGAATCAGGTAACAGCACCTGAGCCTTGTCCCTCCAGCCTAGGGGTGGCTGCAGCAGCCTCCTGTTCGCACTGGCCCCTAGGCTGCTTCACTGTCCTACCTCTAATCAGCTGCATCCCTCACCAGTACAGCTAATCCCCTGCGCTCAGTTCCTTCTGCCGAAACACTCAGAGTGGTTTCTGCTAACCTGGTTAGCAGAAGAGATGTCTAAAGGACATCCTGGGTCTAAAACTGGACTCCTGATCTTTCCCACAAGCCCTAGTCAGTCCCATCTTAATAAACAACCTCACCATCCACCCACAGTTCAGGCCAAAGTTGAGGTCATCATGGATTCCTCCCCTCCCTCACCCTGACATCCATGCCATCATTATATCCTTCCACATACATCCTGCATTTGTCTCTGACTTTCCCTCATGGCCACCACCCTGACCTGACCCATTGTCCTCTTGTCCCCCTGCTGCCTCTCTCACTCTCTCCAATCCATTCTCCACACCACAGCTGAGTGACCTCTTAAATAAGTACATCAGATCCTGTCATTCCCCCTCATAAAACCGTCCAACACCTTCCCATCATCCTGAGAATAAAACCCCAAACCCATCTGGGGCCCACAGGCCCCGGGTGATCCGGCCTGCCTGTCCCCAACCTCATCTCCTCTTCACACTCGCCCTGGGTCACACTAGCCAGCTTTCTGATGCTTCCAATAAAAGAAGCTGGTTCCCACCTCAGGGCCTTTGTCCTTGCAGTTCCCTCTGCCTGGAACCCACTTCCTACAGCTCTTCCCACAGCCAGTTCCTGCTCAGTCTTTGAGTCTAGCTTCTCAGAAGGCCCAACTGACTGACTTGACAGCACGGTCTCTCACAGCCACATCCTGTTGACATCTCACAGCATTTCTTCCTCCCTGAAATGATCTTACTCGTGTATGTCTGTGTGTGTGCACGCACGTGTGCGCTGATTGTCTCCCTTCACTAGAATCCAAGTCCCACGAGGTCAGGGAATCTTGTCTCAGTTCCTACTCTGCCCAGTGCCTTCAACAGTGCCTGGCACGCAGTAGGTATTCAATAAATAATTGCTGAATGCAGACGAAGGCCCTGTCTGGGGACCACAGGAGGAAGGAAACTAGAGGTCTCTGTGGACAGTGTCCAGGGGACCCCAGGTGGAGGGACCCCAAGTCCAGGGTAGCCCCGTCAGGGGACTCAGCTGCTGTGGCTGGAGACCCCGCCATGGGTCAGAGGGACATGCTGGTCAGGTTGTCCTGGCTCAATAGTCCCTTCCGACCTGCACCAGCCCCGTGCCCACTACCCCCAGCACCCCCGCCACCCCCACAGTACTCATGCAGTCTGTGCCGCAATGTGACAAGGGCTGACCCCAGGCAGGCGCCATTGGGTGCGTGGGGCCCACCAGGTAGCTGGAGCAGCAGTGTGGCCACACCGGCCATGCCATCTTCGGTGGGCTCAAGGGTGATAGGCCCGGCTCGCAGGCCAGCAGTGGTGGTAGGGATGGCTGGTGGGCAGCAGCCCCCTCCCACGGGTCCCCAGGGCCCACCAGCCCCTGTCAGCAACAAGGGTGCCAAGAAGGGCTCGGAGCGGCGGAAGGTGGGTGGTGGGAGCCCGGCTGGCTTCCAGGTGGGTGCTGGGGCAGCAGGGTCGGGAGGGAAGCAGACGGTGACCTTGGCGAAGGGCCGGCTGGCCATCTTGGTCATCTCTTGCAGGTGCCGGCGCTGCTCCTGCCGCTGGTCCAGGGCCTGCTTGGCCTTCCAGAGGAGTACGCAGAGTGAGAGGAAAAGGAAGAAGCAGGAGAAGAAGACAGAGAAGAAGACAAACAGGTCGATGTGGGCCTGGTCCTGCCGGAAGAAGAGCAGGCCCTGTGAATCGGCTGAACCGTTGGCGCCGGGCCCATTTGGGTCTCCCACACCCAGCAGCAGCAGGTAGAAGCGGCTGGACTTGAGAGCATGGTGCTCATGCGGGTAGGTGATGACCAGCCGGTCCCGCACGCTGCGGACCACCAGCACTGCTGAGGGCTCCGTCACTGTCACATAGGTGATCAGGCCCCGTGGCCACACCTCCCGCACCCGTGGCTCCGCTGTGGTGCCCGGGACAGTCCCGGGCCCTGGTCCTCCTGGATCCCCGGTCCCCCGGGGCCCACTGTCAGCAGGCGGTGGAGGGGGTGGGGGGGGTGGAGGAGGCTGGATATGCACGGTGTGGACACCCGTGTCAGGGGCCACACGGACTACGAAGGTGTCGTAGGAGGTGGAGACATAGAGGTCCACGGCACCAAAGGTCACGTCCAGCGTCAGGCGGATGTCCACATTGGTGAACTTGGGCTGCACACCAAAGAGGACAGTGCGGCCAGGGCCCAGGGCCCGGCGCTTGGGCTCGTGGAAGCAGTTGGTCTGGGACGTGGGGTCCAGGCAGCACTCCTGCTCCACGGAGATGAGGCGGTAGCACTGCTGGCCACCCAGTGGGCTCCCGTGGAATGACTCCCGGCACTTGGCACACTGTGGGTGGGGTAGGGGGTGGAGGCAGCCATCAGGGATGAGCTCAGTGCCCAGCCGTCCTTCAAACACGACTGACATTCTGGACCTATTGATAAGTAGCCACTGCCCCTGGTTCCCCCAGTGCCCCAGCAGCTTCCTTGTGACCCCCAAACCTCCCTCAGATTGCACAGACACCACCAGGACCCTACACTCCAGCACTGTTGTCCCCAGTGTCACTCCCAGTGACTATAGCACCCTGATGCCGAGGCCTCTGGACCTCTGAGGCTCAGAGATGAAGAAGAGTGACTTAACCATGCTGAACTTGAGACTCTTCCTCTGTACATAGGTAATAAACACAGCTTGCTCCTGGACTGCTGAAATCATAGCACACGGTGGGCCAGCCTCGCCTGCCAGCCTTGCTGTTTCTGGACTATTGGTATGTCCCACCTCAGGACCTTTGCACTGGCGGATCCCCTGCCTGGAACCCTCTCTACCCACCCCTGCCCCTCCATGTCTGCTTTACTCAAGTGTCACCCTCTCCCTGAGGGCTTCCTTGGCCACTATATCTACATTTCTACTCCCCAACACTTCCTAGCCCTCCTTTCTGCTTAATTATTCTCCTTACTGGTCCTCACTAACCCACTGTACATCTGACTTACTCATTTGTTGCCTGACTCCACCATGAGAAGGTAAATTCTTTGGGGACAGAACATTTCAATCTGTTTGGTTTCCTACTGTGTTCCTGCCCTTGCACAGTGCCTGCCACATGGCAGCCGTTCAGTAAATGTGTGCTGAATGAATGAGTGGCCAGATCAAAGCTTTTTGATTCCCGTAGCCCAGCTGAAACCCCTCAGTCTCTGGGATCAGAGCAGGGTCAGTCCAGGCTCCAAACCCAAGTGGCTGTCTGAGCTGGGGCAGGATATTTAATGTCTCTGAGCCTCATTTTCCTCCTACATCCACAGCTCACTGAGGCCCCAGTGTGGCCCTGACAAGCCTTCCACATCTGTGCTGCCTCCACTGTATCCACAGCACAGCACCAGCGCAGCGGCAGGCACTGCCTACAGCACAGCTACAACGGCTATCATGAGAATCTAAAGAAAGTGCTGCTTCAGAACTGCCAACAGAGCTGCTGGAGAGGGTGGGGGTCTGAATTAATCTCTGGGGCTGTCTGTTTTGGCAAAGGCCAACAGGCCTTCTGATTATGCATCAAGAAAGCAAAATTTCTGGTCCAGGATGGAAATGTTAGGGGTCAGCAAGGCTTGTGAGCTCTGTCACCATTCTAGGTGGAGTTGATCTTGGCAGAAATGATGTTTCTGTAGATGGGCGGGGGGGACTTAGGCAAGTAAGGAATTTTCTCTTCCCTCTCGAACTAGAGAGAAAAAGGAGGGTGGGTGAGGTGGTGGGAGCCGTACTTCAAAGAGGGAGCATGGAATATCACCTCTGTGGGAAGCAAGCCTGCAACATGGCAACCAACTAGGCTGAAGAAAAGGGAAACAGGCTGACGGGGAATTTGAATCTGGATATTAGTAATAATATGAGATCCTCTGTTAGGCCCAGGTTATCAGGTTGGGGCTGCCACTTGAGGGAAAACCTGCCTAGACTGAAGCCAACACAGAGGAAAGCAGAGTCAAGATGCAATGAAAGAGACTCCTGATGGCTTTGTATGAGCACCTGGATCTGGCCATTCCTGAAGGTAGACTCCAGATCCCAGTTTTAAGAACCAATACATTTGCGTTTTTGCTTAAGCTACTATGAGATGAGTTTTCTGACTTTTGTAACCTTTAAGTTGTGACTATCTGCAACGGAATCTGTCTCCTCACCAGCCTGAGAGCCCCCCCAACAGGCTCATTTCTGGGTCCCCAGCATCACTACCCAGGGCTTGAAACTGACTGGAGCTCAAGGATAGTCTATAAAGCTGACGTTGATCCCATGACCACAGATATCAGAACCATGTTGTCGGTCCTGCCTGGGTCAGGCTACCTCATCCCAGCTCTGACCTCTCAGGGGTGTGGAGCCCTTGGCCCATAACTTGCTTCTTCCGCCGCACCTGGTATTTGTAGCAGTCTCGGCGGTCACTGGGGGAGCTGCCCTGGCACGTGCCTGTCTCCGTGTTGTTCTGACATGGGCAGCCCGTCCCGTCCTGCTCGTTACATGTATCCGCATGGCCATTACACTGGCATCTGAGGAAGGGGAAGAAGACAGAGCTACAGGGCTCCCATGACTTACAGGGGCCCAGGCTGGGTGCTGCCTCTGTGAGCTCCAATCTGTGCAACAGGCCAGAAGAGGAAACTGACACTCACAGAGGTCAAGCCATGTGCTCAAGGCCACAGAGTCATTAAGTGGCAGAATCAGGATTAGTCCCCAGGTTGGACTGACCATTCAGAAGGAAGGGGACAGAATGGGGAGGCTGTCTTGAGGCCTCTCCTCCAGCGGCTCTCTCTTCTTGCCCACTAGTCTCCATCGGGGCTGCTCTGTAGCCTGTGTTTCAGCATTGGCCTCTGAGGCAAGGGGTCTCCCACCTGAGTCTAGCTGATTGCCCCCAACCTCTGCCCCAGCCTGGGGGCTCCCTGGGGATTTCATCCTCTCCTGACTGAGGGCAGACGAGTGGGGAGGGGAGTCTGACTGGGGAGAGGAGTGATTCCTAGTGAGCAGGGCAAGGGTCCCAGGCCCCCCTTCCACTTACTTGGTGCACTTCCCGTCCAGGAGGAAGTAGCCGTGGAGGCAGCTCTCACACTTGTCCCCATAGCTATTATTCTGGCAGCTCACACACACTGCCTCGTCTTCACTAGGACCCTCTGTCACCCAGTTTTCAATCTGGTCAAGGAAGGACAGAGTGATCACGAAAAGGCATGAACAGCTCCCTCCTCCCTCAGACCCAGGAATTCAGACCCCCGGCCTCTCCTCCCCCAGGTCCAGGAACTTGGGACCCTAGCCTCTTTTACCTCCTCTGGATCCAGCGAGTACTTCTCTGGCTCCCTCCTGGCCATTTCGAGCTCCTTCCTGGAGACACAGACGTGGCTGTTGCCACGACAGAAGGCATGGCAGGGCCGGCAGGTCCCACCACCCACAGCTGAACCCACGAACAGTGGGAGACACTGCTCACAGTGGCTGCCCTAGAAACCAGAGACAGGGTGATCAGGAGGTTTGGGAAATCACAGGGGCATGAGAGTAGGGGGGAGCAGGTTCTGAGAGCACCACGGGAGGGCAGTAGGGCTGCAGCACTTGGCTTGGGCAATCCCAGGCTATCTTCGATTTAGTTCTCTGCCTTCACCCCAGTGACAGGGGGCGGGGGCGGGGGGAGGGGTGTTCACTCCCCTACAGCCCAAAGTGTTGAGCTCAGAAAGCCCTTCCCTAAACATTCCCAAATCCTCCTTCATGTGACCACCCTCCCTGGCCCAGCGCCAACTCTGGCCACTATTCCAGGGCAGCCCCTCTGTGATACAAACCCCAAAGTCTTCTCACACCTCCCCAGATAGGGCTATGCCACCTCCTCCCTGAGCCTGGCTTATCAGGGCTTGGGACAAGGCTCAAGAGGCCTGAGCATGGGCTGAAGGCAAGGAAGAGCCAGGTCCTGGGGTCGGGTCTAAGGTCCCGCGTGGCCCACCTTGGTGTGGTTGCGGCAGAGCAGGCAGTGGTCACGGGCCCCCACGCCGGCACACTCGCTGTGGCGATTGCAGCGACACTCTGTGGAGCAGTTGCGGCCAACAAAGCCGAAGTGGCAGCGGCAGTGGTCAGGCTCCACGCATGAGCCATTCACACAGCCCTGGGCACACACGGGGCGGCACAGCCCCGTCACACTGCAGGGGTGGGCAGGAGTCAGAGCAGGGCTGCAGCCGCCCCCTCCCAACGACAGGTCGCCACTCACCATCCCACCATCTGCTCAACTGTTCTGCATCCCTGGTCTGTTCTGTCACTCTCCCTCCAGGGACCAGCCCACTGCCTTCCTCAGGAGCTAGCCTGCGACACCTCCTCTTGCCAGGTACCCTATTAAACTCACCAACCTTGCCCCTCCATAACCCAGCCCCCTACCCTCACACCCTCTTGGGTCAGTCCCACCACCTCCACTCCTTGCACTGTTTTCTTCCATCCTGCTGTGGTCCTTTGGCCTGTGGCTCATCCTCTACTGCTCCCGACAAATTCCCCTACTCTGCCCAGCCCGCCCCACCTTGGGTCCCCAGCCCTGGTCTGACAGTAGCCTCACTTGTCCATGGTATAGCCCGTCTTGCAGCTGCACTCGTAACCGTGGGGCCGGTCGTGGCAGTTCTGCGTCTCGTTGCAGTCATGGTGCCCATTGGCACACTCGTCCTCAGGGGGGCAGGAGAGGAAGGCCCAGGAGGTCCCAGGTCGCCCACAGGTCAGCCCTGGTATGGGGATACATGGCCTCACCTGGGGTCCTCTGCACCGCCCACCTAGCCACCCAGGCCCTGGCTCCTACTTCTCCTGAGCCCCACCTCTGAGATAGCCCCATGTTCTCTGCACCAGACCCCAGGCAAGGGCCAGCCCCTCTCACCCGACACCCAACACCATCTCACCCTCACGGGGGCCGCTGAGTCCACCCTCCAGGCAGCTGCCGCCCCCATCCTGGCCCCCCCAGGCACACCAGCCACAGTGGGGACGCCGCAGGCACAGGGCACACTGAGACGCCTGCGCACAGCCCAGGGAGCAGCTCTCGGGTCCCCGGAGCAGCCGCCCGCAGCCTCCAGCCATACACCGCAGGGGCAGGTAGGAGGGGCTCAGACACTGTACAGGGAAGGGGAAACAGCAGAGAAAGAGAGTCAAACGAACACATCCTGGCTATCTTCCTGGACTGCTTCTTCTTCTCAGAGGTCTCACCCCTCCCTGGCCACAGCCGAGTGGATCAAAGTAGACATTAGATGGGGTCATCACATTCTCTCTCTCTCAGGCATTTGCAACTAAAAGTCCAGACTGGAAGTCAGGCAGCTGGAGATGTCCTTGAAACTAGAAGATTGTGTAGACTAGGGCTGGCAGGGCCATTTGGAAGAGCAAACAACAGCAAAGGAAGAGAACAGAGAGAGGCAGGAAACAAGCAGATGCAGAAGGAAGCAGACATGAGAACCACACACTCAGGCAGAGGCAGCTTTCCAGGCCCCATTTCCAGTCCCCGGTAAGGCCTGACTGCATTTTCCACCCTGGGGTCCAGAGGTTCTTCTGCATTGGTGCCATGAGTCCCCTTCACCCACCTCACTTAGCACACAGCTGTTTCTTACAATCAAAGGAAGGTAATGATCCCTAGTCTCAGGAGGGGGGTTGCAAGCCACTAAGTCGCTTAGAAAAAATGTAGACCTGGCTGCTGGGGCAACAGGATCCTCTCACCCCAGGCTGGGAAGCTGAGGAGACTGTGGTCGGGGCTGCACAGCAGCTCACACGCCATCACTTATCACGTCGTGGGACCCAGATGAGGTACACAACGAGGCTCAGACTCTGGGACCTCACCTCAGTGTAAGAGAGCATTTTATTTACGGCTCAGACCTTAAGCAAAGAATAAGAGGAAAGAGACGGGTCTAGGCTGGCTGTCTGAAAGCACTCAGCAAGGCCCCCACGCAATTCTGAAATAGAAACCCTGACTGCTGTGGCCGGAGCTCAGAGCCCACTGAGGGTTAGGGCCAGGGATGAGCTGAGCCGAGCTGAACCGTCAGAGCCAAATTCTCTGCCAGGCTGGCTCCCAGATCTAAATTTAGTGCACCCATTGGCAGACAGCAGGGCAATCGGGGACGGGTGGAGAGATGCCCGAGTCTCCAGTCTGCACAGCGCTTTGTGCCGTGACCTCCCTAGTGGCCAAATGTGATGCTGCCCAACACTGCAAACTGCATTTCCTGTATTCCTGGAGGAGATGCAGGAACCTAAGTTCTGAGAGCAGGACCTCAGCTCATCTGTTGCCATATGCCCACCGCCTGGCAGAGTGCCCAGCACAAGCAAGGCGTTCAGTGCAGAATGTGGTGCAGGGAGAAGGGGAAGGAGGAAGGAAGTCGGCCAGGAAGAGAACACTTGGTTGCCTGCCCCAGGCTTCGAAGCCAGTCATTCAAAAGAACAAGCAGGATGGTTAAAATATGGCTGCCCTTCGGCCAAATCATAACAGGTTGGCCTGCATATCTGTTATACCTGATCTGCATGGTAGGGGTTTTAAAAAACTTGAGCTGACACTTTAACTAGGAGATTTCATAGAAATCAGAAAATCCAGCAGAAGTCACATTCACATGCAGCCTTGACTCCATGCTCTCCAGTTGACCGACCCCACCACTTCCTCCTGCCTCCCACCTGGTTGCTCCCTCACCTCCTGAGCTACCCTGCGAGCCTGGCAGGCAGAGAGGGGCTGGGGGAGCAGCGCATGACAACAGGCTCTCTGGGGTTGCCTTCTGGTTCCTGGAGGCCCAACAAAGACAAATAATGGAAATCTCAGCAATATTTGGGAAGAACCTGGATCACCAGAAGGACCCCAGCCTTGGAGACGAGAGGCCTTTGTTTTTTAGAGACCAACGCCGCAGGGGGATACCCCCTACCCAGTACGGAGCCTCTAGGTGTGTCCGAGACTGTGGAGATTGGGAATCCTCCCTGTGGGCAGAACCTCGGGCATTACTAAGTTTTCACTGAAGTACGGGCACTGCTCGATGCTCTAAATATGTTCTCCCATTTAATTCGTACAAGCTGCCTATGGCACGGTGTGGTACACCATGGGAATATATTTGGTGTTTGTCCCCAGCTCCTGGCATAGAGCTACTAAAACACTTGGGATTTCCTGAGTGTTAGGAATGCCGTTGGTTACTCATAAGGAACCCCTTTCACACCTGAGTTTATGCTAATGAGTGCCTCGAGAGGGGTCACCAGAAAGACAAGTGATTTAGAGGGTTGGGACTTTCAGCCCCACCCACAGACCTGGAGGTGGAGTTGGAGACTGAGCCCTATAAAAACTCTGGAACAACAAGATTCAGAGTTGGTGAACACATCCACTGGGAAGATGGCACACCCAGAAGAGGGCGTGGAAGTTCCACAACCCCCACACCTTGCCCTATTTGTTTCTGTCATTTGGCTCTTCCTGAGTTGCATCCTTTATAATAAACCAGTATTGGTAAGCAAATGTTCCTCCGAGTCCTGCGAGCAGTTCTAGCAAATTATCAAACCTGCAGAGGGGGTGGTGGGAACCTGTGATTTACAGCTGGTCATCAGAAGTGCAGGTGGCCTGGATTGGTGACTGGCGTCTGAAGTGGCGGCAGTCTTGTGAGACTGAGCCCTTTGCCTTGTGGGATCTGAGGCTAACTGCGGGTAGATTGTGTCAGAAGTGAAGTGAATTGTTGGACACCCACTTGGTGTCTGGAGAATTGGTTGTTGGTGTTGGAAAACACCCCAGATGGTCTGTGATATCACTCCTATTTTACCAAAGACTCACAGAGGCTCATGGGTTGTGAGACGGTGAGTAGTCACACCTTGACTGGGTCTTGCACAATAAAGATGAATGAGGAGTGGACATCAGTGGAAATCAGAGACTCGGAACTCTGCCCACTGATATTGCTTTTGGGTGTGACAGCAGGAGGTGAATCTTGCTTGTCTCCCACTAGGATGGGGTGGGGAGTGAATGCCTTGTGTCTGCCCTTGGGACAGCTAAATCATGCTGGGCAGAGGCATCTTTGGGGAATGGACTTTATGAGAGAGCAAGTGCTGGGTAGCCAAGGGGCAGACTGTCATTGGCACATACAGTGCTGCCCCAGACAATGCCCGCCTTCAAGAACCATCTCCAGTCCACAGCCATGGATGAGGGGTGGGTCTGAACTGCCACATTTGAACCATGTGCTCCTACCCATCCCTGGCCACATCTCACTGGACCAAGCATGGTCTCTAGAATTAGAAAGTCACACAGACTGAGGGTCATAGACTCAGGGCTCCCATTTGAGTCTGTGTACGTTCAGATCAAGTCGAGAGAAACTGGAGGATGGAGACATGCAGAGAACAGCTGAGATGAGAGGCTATATGGCCCGAGGACAGAAAAGGAGTACTTCATGTCCTAAGATTCCATCAAATACCCCCAGTTCCTTATAACAAAACCAGCTCTTGTGGCTTTCTGTTTCTTACAACTAAGAGTTCCAAAAGCAGAGAGATAAAGAGATGGAGGAGGGAAACGGAAAGGTTTGGGGGGAAGAGGGGAGATGGTATGAGTCATGGGAAGGATGGCACAGGGAGAACTTGAACAAGAGCTGGAGAGACACAGGGGCTGGGGAGTCCAGAAGGTGGCACAGGAATGTGGTGAGAAGACACGACAGGGAGACCCATGAGGCAAGGAGGGAAGAAAGAGATGTCAGGAGAAGAAAAGAGAAAGTGGAAGAAAAGAAAGCGTGAGGCTGGGACCAAACTTAGGGAAATATGGGAGGAAGTAGGACAGAGGAGGAGGTAGCAGAGAAAGGGTGGTGCCAGGGCAGAGAAGAGGAGCACCTGGACACCTGGCCAGGTGCAGTACCTGTTGGAGGCTGCTGCTCCACACACAGTGCTGCCAGCCCCCGTCTGCACCCTTGGAGTCCAGGCAGGAGGTGCAGTTGGGCAGGAGGTGACAGGGGGTGGGGCAGGGCAGTGGGGGCGATGATTCCACCGGCATTGGGGACACATTCAACAGAGAGTGGCTGAAGCATGTCCAGTCATAGGTAGGCTGCACTGAGAGGATGCGGCGGGTCTCCCCTGGGGTGGTGGGCACAGGGATTAGAACCCAATCTAATCCAGGCCCCCAGCCCCTCCTCCCTTTCACCCAGGAGTCCAGGCCCCTAAATGCTCCTCTCAGAGACAAAGCCTTAGCACTCACCTGTCCTCTTGAACTGCCGTGTCCACATGCACTTGCCCTCCCTGGTGCACTGCTCACAGTCTGCGGCCCCGCACGCGGCCTCCGAGCAGTTCCCTGCCCAGAAGACTTCTCTCTGGTTGATCCGACAGTCATTCTCTGAGGTGCAGGACCCATTGCGTCCGATGCAGGCGCCCTCAGGGCAGTTGGTACACCACTTACAGCGGGGGGCAGATGCCTGGCAGGCAATACGGGCTTAGTGGGGTCCTCAAGGCCCCCAGCACCCCTCCTGACCCAGCTCCTCCCATCCAAGTCCAGCTGAAGAGCCTGGTGGCTCCTGAGACACTCCTCCCTCCCAGCCCCACACCACTCACCTCTCCATCTCCAGGCTGAAGGGTCCGGGGATGGCGGGCCAGGCATTCACTGCAGGTCCGGAGACGTCGACATTCCTCAGGGGAGCGAGGCATTGGGGAGCATGGGGGGTCCCCACAGCCCAGCCTGGGAAGGCATGAGGCCAGGCTCATCACACCCAGCCAGGCCCCATCCTTCCTCTTCCCACCTTCACCTCTTCCTGGTGCCTCCTGGACATCGTCCTGCAGGCCCCAACGTGTATCCCAAACTGGACTCAGCACGGGCCTTCCAAACCTGCTCCTTCCCCCACCCTACCTGGTAATGGTCCCACGTCCGCATGTCACTCGGGCCAGAGACACTGGACAATACTCCACGTTCTCCTGCCCCTCCAGCCACTGAGGCCTTCTGCCTCCTGAATTTCTCTCTGACTGTCCCCTCCTCTCCACCCCTGCTGTCCCTTGCCCAGTTCAGGCCGCTTCCTGTCACCCCAGCCTCCTCTCCAGTCTCCACCTATAACCTCCGCTCACCACTCCCTCCTTCAAAACAACCCCAGGGTCTTTCTGCCCAGGCCTGCCCCTGCCCTCTCCTGCTCAAACCTTCCATGGCTCCCCATCACCCACAGTGGAGGTCCATAATCCTTCACCCAAAATCCCTGAAGGCCCAGGTGTTTCAGAACTTTCCATATTTTAGAAAAGCAGTAGGCTGTCCCACAGTTAGATAACTTTCCTAGTGGATTCTGGGGAGCACCCCATAAATCAAACCCTTTAATATTTCTGCAGTAAACACAGTGACACATTTAATGGGACAAATAAAGCCAATTAGCAGCCTCATACTGCTCAGAATGACTATGCAGCCAAATGAGTTTGTGCTAAACCCAGGACAGCACTTCCAGCTTCCTGAGATGTCTGGATTCCCGAACTACAGACGAGACGTCTGTGGATCTGGACGTAGCCCACAGCCTTGGCTGGGCACTGAAAGTCCTTTCTGAGCTGACCTCACTCACCTTTCCAGTCTCATTTTCCCCAACACAGATGCAGATGGTCTCTCAAAATATGCCAGGTGCAGCCCCACTTCTGAACTTTCGCTGGTGTAAACTCTACTGCTCTGTTAGGGCCCTTTCAGCCCAGCTCCTCTAGGAAGCATTCTTGGATGACGCCCAAGCCCACAAGCAGGGCTTCCAACTCTGGGGTCCCCCACCCCGCCCTGCCTGTGATGAACCACCCATTTTCCCATGTGAACTGATACCCCAACCAGATGGTACCCTCCTGAAGCCTCCCCCAAGCCTGACCTAGCACAGAACTCCCTTTGGAGGGCACCAGCACCATGTGCCCATGGGCTGCCAGTTGCCATGGTTACCTATGGGCTTGGTCCCCGGACAAGCAGGCCCTGTGGCACCACGTGCAGGCCCCAGACTGGTTACAAGCTTCGGGTGAGGGCAGCAGGCGGCAGGGGTCAGGGGGCAGGGTCAAAGCCAGCAGGCGGCCCAGGGCCACTCCTCCGAAGCCCCCTGAGATATACAGGCGGCCCCCCACTGCCGCCACAGCGTGGGCCACAGACTCCTCCATCGGAGGCCCCACAGAGGCTGGGCCTGGGGAAAGACAGAACGTTTAGAGACAGAGAAGCAGAGTGACAGAGTGAGGGTACACAAGAAAGCAGGAGACTCAGGGAAGAGACCCACAGAAAGATGCCAGTCAGAAAGGGACACTGAACAGGGACACAGTCTAATGACAGCAGAGACAGACACAGCAAGACACAGAGAAGAGAGATGGGGCCAGACAAGACAATCAGATGCAGATGGCAAGACAAAAGAGAAGGAGAGAGACACACAAACAGGAAAAAAGGGAACAGAAAGAGTGAAATAACACTGGAGAGAAATGTTTTAGAACCAAATAGAGGTGGTGGATGCACAAGATTCTAAAAGTACTACATGCCACCTATCGTTAATTTTACAATTGTTAATTTTGTGATGTGAATTTCACCTTAATTTTTTAAAATCCTCAAAAAAAAAGAAGAGTCACAGAGTAGTGGAAAAGATAGATTACGAGAAAAAAAGAATCAGAGACAGAGGTTCAGAGAGAGAGGCAAAAAGAAAAGGAGACAGGCCCAGAAACACACGCACAGTCAGTCACAACGGGAAGGGAAACAAAAAGGCAAGACAAAGCCCCTTTCTAACCTATGAACTCAGATCCTGGAAGGAAACATCCTCACATATAGTAGTCCTTGTCTCTAGAGAGTAAGGTTATGCAGGATTTTGTTTCTTCCTATTTCACAACTTACATACAATTAATGTCATTATTTTTATAATCAGATGTTTCAAACAATTTCTTAATAAACTTTTTTAACAAAAAGAAAAACGAAGGAGGGCATCTCTGTCAGTGTTTAGATAACATGGAGGGAACAGCAGCTTTGCTGGTGGGCCTGAAGGGGCCTGAGTGACTCCTAATGAGTGGAGGTCCAGGACAGGCCCCCAGGGAAAGTGACGGACTTACGGGTGAGGTCGGGCAGGAGCCAGGCGTTGCAGTTGACCTGGTAGAGCAGAACATCGCTGCTGAACTCGTCGGGGTCCGAGCGCCCCCCAAGGACCACCATGGTGTCACCTAGCAGGGCTGAGGCGTGGAAAAGTCGGGGGCGGGGCTGGTGGGAAGAGAGGCGGCAGGATGGCCTGTCAGAGCCCACAGTCCTCTGCTCACAATGCTCCCTCTAAGCCCACCCACCACCCCGAATCTCCCCACACCCCAGCCCTCACCAGCCCACCCAATCCTAACCTTCCTCAAACCTCACCACCTTCCTCTAGGAAACCTCCCTCATTCCTCAGAGCAGCCCCAGAGCCACCTCCTTTCCCCAAACTCCCAGAACCATCATGTCCTGTGCTGTTCCCCAAAAACCTGGCCTGGACTGCTTGAGATGAACCCCATGTTTCCTGTGTGACCTTGCCAGCTGGGCTTGGGGTGTACTGGGGTGAGACTTGTGTCTCTTACTTCTGCCTCCCTTGCAGTCCAGCCCCAAGAAGGGCTTGGAAATATGTTTGCGGATGGAAAACACAATTGTCTCTAACCAGCACATCTGGGGTTTCACGTTCTCCCACCCACTGGCTCCTTTGGCCTTGAAGGCAGGAAGTACAAGCAGCCTCAGTCCTACATTTTATAGATGGGAGGCCAGGAAGGGGAGGCACCTGCCAGGGCCACACCAAGAGCAGGGCAAAGCTGGAGGAGAACCCAGGCCTCCGACCTTCTGGTCTAGGATTTCTTCCTCCAAGTCACAGATGCAGAAAGGGGGGCCTTGGGGTGCCACAATTCAGTTTAGGGGACTGGAAAGGGAGTGGGAATCCAGGGTCGAGCCAGGCCCTGGGACACTGGGAAAGGGGTCCTCCCTTCTGCCACTAAGATCCATATATCTGCACCTCTTTTCCTGACCTTTGCCCCCTGCGAAGGGGCCAGCAGGCTCCAGGTGCGGTCAGGACAGTGCAGGGAGTAGAGCTCAGGGGATGGGGCTGCCAGCTCCACATGGAAACGGAAACCCCCAAACACGTAGAGGGAGTCGGTGGCCTCGTGGTACACCGCAGAATGACCATAGAGACCTGGGGGGACGAGTGAGCACAGAGACTGGGGGAAGGGCTGATGACCAAGAATGCCCCCCACCTTCCAGGCTCCCCTTCTGGTGACCATAACACCACCCTACCAGCCCTGAGGTCAGAGACCGAGGAGCCCTTCTCAACCCCTCCCTTTCCTTCGGTTCTAAAGGACAACCTTTAGAGACTCTGGGAAAGAAGAAGAGAGGGAGACAGGGTGACCAGGATGTCCTGGGGGACAGGGATCAAAGAATGCAGAATGAGAGGTAGAGAAAGAGTACCTGAGGGGCAGTGATGTGGGACCTGGGGGGAGGGAGACGGTGACCCAGCACTACTGGGCAGGAGGTGGGCAGCTTCTCATGGAGTCTGGGAGTGGTAAAGAGAGAAACTGAACTTCTCAAGAGATGGCATCCTGAGAATCTTGGGGTAGGGGTTAGGGGGGAGACAGGAGATAACAAGGTATAGAGGGCAGTGACCACAGAGCACAGGAGTGGATAGAGCCTACACAAAGCCCTAGATGGCCAGGAGGTCAAAGGTGCTGTGCCCTCCCTGTCCCAGCCCCACCTGTGGGGGGTGTCCCACTCTGGGCTCCAGATACCCAGGTGCCAGTCGCCAGCTGGTACTCAAGCAACTGCTGATTGAAGCCATTTTCGGGGGAGTAACCGCCCACCAGGAGCAGAGACAGGCCTCGGCGGGCAGTCAGGGTGTGACCAGCAACTGCTGGCAGCTCCACGGTCTGAGGGACCTGGGGGATGGAGGGCAGTCACAGGGGTGCAGGTGCCAGAGGTCAGGGGTCATCGGGGGTAGAAGCAAGGTAGGTAGAAGCAAGACTCAGAGCTCCTCACACTCCCTGTGAACCACTAAAGAAGTAGTGAGCTTCCCGGGGCTGGTCAGACCTCAGGCCTTCTGACCAGCCCTGGTCCCAGCAGGTGTGCAGCAGACCTCCTGCTATTTCTGCCTGCTCAGTGTCACTTTGTCAGGTAGGTGCAACCTGGTGTTCCTCTGGGAAGCCCTTGCTCCTCTGTTCTCACTCTGGCTGCGTGGGGCTGACTGTATCCACTCCACAGTGGGCTGGGTCCCAGTCTGGCTGACCAGTGCATCACATCCCCTCAGCCAGGGATTGGCTCAGGAATACAATGGGACCCAGGATGGCCAATGAAATTCAATCCCAGGACTTTCATTGGAGCCCTAAGAGGAAGCTACTTCCTCTGGGGGTGAAGCTGGCAGGAGCTGGTGTGGCCTTCTTTGCTAGAGCCTGCTTGTTGGGGCTGGGGGAGGGTGGAGATGCTCACCTTCTCCTGCCGCCACTGCAGGGTTGTGAGGTTGAGGACCCAGAAGTCGCGGGTGACGCCCCCAGCTGTGAGGCCCCCCAGCAGGTACATGGCACCACGGCCAGCAGGCACGTAGGCGGCTGCGTGGAAGGAGCGGGGTGAGGGGCCTGGGCCCCCGTCCTCAGCTCCTGCCAGCATCTGTGTCCACCGCCGCTCACTCACTGAGTACCTGGGGCAGAGAAGCAAAAAAGCAGCCTCACTATACAGTCATCCCAGCATCCCCTAGGGTGACTCCCCAACGAGTACCACAACATCCCCTAGGGTGACCCTCCTATGACAGTCATCTTACCATCCCCCAGGGTAGCACCACCCAAATAAGTATCCCAGTCTCTGAGATGAGCCTCCTGTGACAAGTGTCCCAGCATCCTTTGGGGTGTCCTTCATCTATAGATGTTTTTCTGCACCCCCCTGAAGGGACTCTTACATGACAGACATCTCAGCATCCCCTGAGGTGACCTCTCATTCAGGTATCCCTTCTCCCCAAGGCAGTCCTCACCTGTACAGGTTTCCCAGGAGCCCCTGGGGCAGGCCCAGGCCCCCAAACATCCACAAGGTGGCATCAGGTCCCTCCACCATGGTGTGCCCCAGGCGGTGCAGGAAGCGGCTAGCAGTGTCCTAGGGGTGGGGGTGGAAATGTGAGGAGTGAGGCTAAGGTCACGAGAAAGTGTCAGGCTGGGAGTAGGGTCTAGGAGGTGGTCCCAGGAGTGGAGGAGGAAAGGATGATCCTGGAGATGGGCTGTGTGGCACCTCCCTGGGGAGTGGCGTCCACAACTCACGGCTGAGAGGCGGCTATCCATGAGGGTCTCCCAGACCAGCTGCCCACCATCCAGCTTTGTGGCACAGTCAGGGCCCCCGAAGCCCTCAGCACAGATGCACACGCCCAGGCTCTAGGGGACAGCAGAAGGAAGTTCGAGGGGGAGCCCTGATCACCATCCCTGTCCCACTTGGCTTGCCCTGTCCCACCTATACCTGGTTACAAGTCCCTGCCCCACTGTGGGCATTGCAGTTCTCGGGACACAGAGCCATGCGGCAGTGTGGGCCAGCCCAACCCTGGGGACATCGGCAGAGTCCAGCACCTGCGGCCTCGTCTTGGGGCACACACTCCTGGGGGACAGGGCAGCTCCCAGGGCCACCTGACCCACAGCGGGCGGAGCCTACTGAGGCATTGAAGCCCCAGGACGAGGAGCCATTAGCCTCCCAGTGCAGCACGAGCAGCCCTGTTGGGGGAGAGAGGCCAGAGGCTGGTAGCAAGGTCACATTCCAGGACACCACTCCACCCCCAGGGTTTGAGGAAACCCAGTGTAACTGGGCAAGGAAGCAAGGTACCATGGTAATTTATAACCACTGCTGTGATTAACCATTCTCCTGCCCACCGCACACCCTTTCCCTCACCCAACCCATCAAGTTCCGTTGCTTTTAAAGCCATCTCAATCTCTCTCATAGTCACCCATTGCTTGCCACCTCCTCAGCAGCTCACCTGGACACCAGCGCATCTCCCCACTGGTCCTCTTGGCTCCCTACACGCCACCCTTCACAGAAGCCCAAGTGATCGTTTATAAACCTGAATCTGAGCCCGTCACTGTCAAGCTCCAAACCCTCCACAAATCCCTACCGTCTTATACGAAACCAAGTCTCCTTAGAAAGATTAGTGCGGGCAGGGGCAGGAATTAATGACATGGTATGTAAAAAATGCTTCCATACCAAGTGTTTTTTATTTTAAAAAAGGGCCTGCAGGCCCTCTGACCCCATCCCCTCCCACTCTCCCAGCCCTCCCTTGCCAGCACTATGGGTTCCTCCCTTTCCTCGCCCACACTGCCCCCTTCAGGCCTCAAGAGCAATTTCACCTCTGCAAAGAAGCCCTCCCCAACTCCCAGACCAGGCCAGGAGCCCACTCCCTTCCATTTCCTCTGTCCCTTAGTGAAGGGGTCACTCTTCTGAGTATACTTTGTTCGCTGCTGGTTTTCACACCCCCCCGCCCCCGTGATACACACTCAGCCCATAAAGGCAGCACGGGTGTCCCTCGTTCACTGCCGCAGCCCCAGTGTCTAGCTCAGGCCTAGCTCACTGCAAGTGCTCTGTAAACACTTGCTGAGTGAAATGAAATCAAGGGCCCCGCAGTTCCATTTGCTCACTGTGGGGTCCACGGTTGCATGTAATCACCAGCAGGCTGACGACAACTACACCCTCTCCCTCTCTCTCCCGGCCTTGGAGCCACTCTGATTTACAATATGAACAGAAACATTTCCAAGCTGGGGTCCTTCAACTGCCATGGGCAACAAATTATTTCTGGTACATCTCCAGGCTAAGCCAGGTTTCTCAACCTCTCAGCACTGTTGACACCACAGGGCCTGGTAATTCTTGGTGGTGGGGACTGCCCTCTGCACTATAGAGTGCACAGCAGCATCTCTGGCCTCCACCCACGAGATGCCAATAGCACCCCCAATCACAACAGTGAAAATGTCTCCAGACTTAGCCAAATGCCCCAAGGGGCAAAATCACCCCTGGTTAAGAACCGCCAGGCTGGGGCTGGCCCCATGGCCGAGTGGTTAAGTTCGCACCCTCCACTTCAGTGGCCCAGGGTTTTGCCAGTTCAGATCCTGGGTATGGACATGGCACCACTCATCAAGCCATGCTGAGGCGGCATCCCACATGCCACAACTAGAAGGACCCACAACTAAAAATATGCAACTATATACTCAGGGGGCTTTAGGGAGAAAAAGGAAAAATAAAATCTTTAAAATAAAAAAGAACCACCAGACTGAGTAGATGCTCAGGGGCCCTCACACACTAGCCACATTCTGTGTGCCCCAAAGACATGTCCCACTTGGCCCTTCTCTCCAGAGAGGCAGCCCAGCCAGTGCAATCCTCTCTATTTGCCCTTCAGCTGAAGAAACTGAGGCCCAACAGTGGCAAGGATTATGTCACCCAGCAAGTCAGTGGCAGAGTCACACTGCGTCTTGAGCCCACCTCAGGCAGCAAGGTACAGGGGCAAGAGATACATAGCCCAGGACAGAGGTCCCACTTCCCCCAGCTCCATACCAGATAGGGCCTGCACAGTGAGGGGCCTGTCCCGCCGCTGGCCGCAGAAGGCGGCAATGAGGCTACGATCCGACTGGACGACACCAGTGTCCAGGAAGCGCGGGAATCCATCAAAGGCCAGGACGTAGCTCAGCTGGAGGGGTGCAGAGTTGAGGATCAGAGGGATGCTGGGGGTCAGGGAGGAGGAGGAGCTCAAGAGGAGAAGGCAATCTGAGACTGGGAAACAGGCTGTTTGAACCTCCCGGGCATAGTGTCAAACTGTGGCATGGAACCACCATTCCCCCTCCTCTGTTCATAGCAGACATGGCTAAACAATCAGGCACTCTCGCCAGAAGCTTCTTTCTCAATACACAGCTCCCGGCGGCCACTGCCAATAGATCAGTTGGCACACAAGGTACAAATATTACCATACCTGGACTAGAGAATGGAGAATTGGAGTCCAGGGAATAGGAAGTGATCTGGGAAATGGGAGGGTCTATGGACTTAGGGACAAAGGGCTGGGGGTCTGAGGAACAGAGCTTGGGGTCTGAAGGATAAAGAAACAGAGACGTGGGGGTTAGGGTTTGTCTGGGGATTCACACTGAGTGGAGGAGGCATGGGCCTGAACCCTGGTGCCCTTGGTGCTCACCGTGCAGGGGGTGCTGCTGTCAGGCGAGAAGGTGAGGGTGAGTGGGGGACACAGGGTCCCCGGGGCACAGGGCTGGAGCACCTCGGTGGCTGAGACAACCCACACACAATAGGATAGACCTGTCCCCGTTCTCGCTGCCCCACCACCTGGAGGCAGCAGCCCCCCAACACGGCGTGAGCCCAGTGCCACCGAGGACACGTTGGTGAGGAGGGCGCGACCTCCACACTCCCGGAAGCAGGAGCCACCGGCCCTAGAGAGATGGAGGCGAGCCAGCATCAGACCAGTCCTGTCCCATCCTGCCACGTTCCTAACCCCACCCCCACCCTGCCCCACCTGGCTAGCCCCTGGCTCACCGGGGGTCCCCGTAGTATCCAGGGGAGCAGAGCTGGCAGTGGGCACCCTCAGTGTGGTCCTGGCAGAAGCAGAGCCCGCTGAGGTTGTCACAGTGGCCTCGGCGTGGGTCCCCATGCCCGTTGCACTGACAGGGCCGGCAGCCGCCAGAGCCTGTGGCGTTGCCGAAGCTGCCGGGCCGGCACCGTTCACAGTGCTCCCCCCACGTCCAGTCTGTGGAGGCGCCAGCAGCAGGACACAGAGTCAGGGGAAAGGGCGGGAAGGAGCCCGACCAACTGGCCCAACTGATCCCTGACGCCACCTGGCTACTTCAAAGGAGGCGAACCAGGGCCCAGGTTGGGGAAAATAAGCAAATAACAGGGGGACTGAGGCCGCCGAAGAGACGAGTGTCACTTAAACTTGTTTGGGGTCAGGAGCAGGCAATGGGGCAGGGGACCCGAGCTGGGTGAGGGGACACAGAAGCCCGTGCAGAGAAGAGGAAACTGGAACCCCGAGAAGGAGGCTCCCTTGAGGCCAGTCCCAGGGAGTTCAGGAGGAGGGCTGCTCACCCTGGCACTCATCGCAGAAGCCGGGCCCCCGCTTGCGGCAGTGGCTGTGGAAGTTGCAGCCACAGTCCCGGGAGCAGCGGGGGGCAGGAGGTCCGGGGGCAGGCGTGGGAGGGGGCAGGTCCGATGTCCAGCCCAGATCACACACACAGGTGAAGTCGGGGGGGCCACTGCACACACCATGACCACAGTCTTCCAGGCACCTGAGGGACCATGGCAGGAGTGGGGGAAGGGCTGCACCAGCCCAGAGCCCTCAAGGCATCCCTGTCACCCTACTCCACCCCATCATCTCCATGGCAACATCATCAAAAGCTACTGCCTGTTTCCAGTCCTAGACTCCGTGGGTGGCCCTGTCTCCAAGGTAATTCCAACACACATGATAATCACTGTCTCTATAGCAACCACGTATCACCACTGGTGATCTGTTCTCTGTGAAAACCCCTTTCAACTTGGTCCTCCTCCATTTCCATGGCAACGCTGAAGACTATGGCCTGCAGTCCATGAGTGACTCGTCTCCACAGTAACTAGTGTTACGTTGGGGACCCTGTCACTCTAAGGGCCTAGTCTGCCAGGTAAAAACCCCAGCCTCAGTGGGGATGCTGGTTCCACAAGAGGCACCCCAGCAGGGTGATCACCCTCCCGGCACCTCCACACATCCTGGCCCTGGGGCACATCTCCATGGAGACCACACCCACTCACGTGCGGCTGCAGTGTGTGACTCCATCGCCCTGGTAGCCCCGCTGGCAGTGACACTCGTAGCTGAGGGGCGTGTTCAGGCAGGTCGCCTGCAGGTGGCACCGCGCCAGGCCCAGGCGACACTCATCCACATCTGGACAGCGGGCATATGCCCAGCGGGCAGGGAGGGCCACGGACAGCCCCAGGCCCTCCCCTACCCACAGGGAGCAGTTACCCCCACCCAGGGGCCCAGAGAAGTCCCCCTGGAGGCACCTTGGGGTGGGAGATTGAAGGGGGGATGGGTGAGATGATAAAGAAACAAGAGACAGAGGCAGGGAAACAGTGACAGGAAGAGGGGAGGCCAATCAGAGAGAAACAGAGATATGAATATGCACAGAGACAGAAGGAGAAATGGAAGAGAGACAGAGAAAAACCCAGAGAAGTTAGATAAAAAAGATTTTACAAGACAGAAGAGACAGAGACAAGGAAACAGTGACAAAGAGAGAAAAGGAGAAACAGATACAGAAAAACAAGAAAAAAGAAAACAGCAGGGAAGATGAGAGAAGACAAGTCACAGAGAAAGGGAAAGAGCAGAAAGGGAGAAGAGAAAGAAATGGAGAGAAAAGGGGAAGGGGGCGAAAAAGAGACGATGGTAAGGAAAAGGGGTAGAGAAACAGAGCAGCTGTTAGGATCAGGGTGGACGGGCGGAGGGCCAAATACCCCACAGCCCTGCCACCCAACCAGCCTCACCGGCCCAGCGTGGGGTTGTCCTCGTTGCCACACCAGCCACACTCATGGCTCTGCAGACATTCGTGGCAGGTCAGGAAGCGGTCACAACTCCTGCACCGTGGCTCTGAGTGCACACTGCAGGACGGCAGGTGTGGAGGTGTCACAGCCCTCTATGGTCTCCACCTTCCCCTCCGAGAGCCGTTCCCCCTCGCCACCCAGACAGGACCATACCTATCGTCCCAGCCACGGCAGCCCCCATGTGGGTACCGGGCCAGGTAGGCGGCAAACAGGAAGCAGGTGTGGGTGGACTGGCACCAGGCGCACTGGCTCGAGTTGGCCAGGCAGTCGTCACAGGTCAGGCGCCTGGGGGTGGGCAGTGGGGACAGGGTCATGCCACAGCGCGGCCCACACCCCACTTCACACACCCCCGCTCCCTGGACCAGGTGGAGCTCACTGGCTGCAGAGTGGGGGACACTCCTCCGGGCTCTTCAGGGCACCCAGCCCCCGGCCCCGCCGGCTGCACGCCGCGTCCCCTTTGCGGCTGGTGCTCTGATGCCACTCGCAGAAGGGGTCCTGGTGGGTTGGAGGAGGAGTAAGAGCCCACCTCAGCCCTGTCCCTTGGGCTTCCAGCCCCAGTCCCATCACCAGCTCAACAAGCAGCTACCTCCCTCACTTGCCCGGGCCCCAAAGACCACCCCTCCAAGCCCACCTCCCTCCCCAGCTGCCTGCCTCTCACGACATCCATGGGTTCTGTAGCTCAGCACCCACTCTCATTTTGGGCAGTCGCATGCCTTCTGTGTGGTCCAGGTGGGGCTGATTAAGTCCCTGGGATCCAGAGGTGGCCAGGGGCCACATTCCCTCCCCAAAGCCTCACTGATTGATCCAGGAGTCGGCACAAGACCCAACCAGAGCCGATGAAATGCACTTCTGGCACTTCTGGTGAACTGGGGGTGAGAGTGGAGTAGGGGAAGAAAGGTGCTCTCTTTCTACTTGGGACTCAGGTGGCTGAGTCGGGGGATAAACGGATGGAGCCCTTGTGGCTCCCTTGCCACTCCAAGGAATGAACCTCCAGGGAAAGAGAGGATGCAGAATGGAGGTAGGCGGATGCCTGACCAGGTGGTTTAAACGGCTGGGGACAGCAGGCCTAAAGACCTATTCTTGGATTCTGGTGCCAGAGCGGATAAATGCCCCTCTGGTGAAGAGGTGCTGAGCTGGGTTTTCTGGCCCCTGCAATGGGGAAAGTCCTGACTGCCAGGCGCCCACTCTCCAGCCCCCTCTTCTGCTCTCCACTGAGCTCTCACCTGCAGATCAAGGACAATGGCCTCAGCCATCTCCCACCACCACTGCCACCCAGGGGGCTCCTCAGCTACCCATGCCAGCCCTGGGGGGCCCTCCCCTTCCCCAGTCGCCTGCTTTGGCTGCTTCCATCTTAAGACCTCCCCTCTGTGGTCCAGCAGGCACCTGGGTGCAGGCATGGCAGTCGCGATGCTCCTCACACAGTGGGCAGAGGGCAGGCACCAGCACCAGCAGGGACCCACCAGCTCCATCGGCCCCGCAGTGGGCCCCACTCTGGCGCAGGTGGCAGGTGGCACTGGTCAGGCACCAGCCACAGCCCTGGTCTGCCAAGCAGCCGAAGCAGGAGGAGTAGGAGGCGCAGGCTGACGAGCGGTAGGGCTCCAGGAAGAAGAAGGAGATCTCCTGGGGGAGGGGTCACATGAGGGTCAGGGGTCCATGCTCTAAGTCAAGAGCCAGAAGTCAAGGTTTGGGATAGGGGTCGGAGTTTGGAGCTAAAGATTTAAGTGTTTACAAACAAGGCTGAGAGCTCAGGTGCATAGAAAGTCAGCATTTAGGACATCAGCAGACAAAAGAAGATCAGGATTTGGGAGAATCTAGAGATTAGAGGTCAAAGTGTGGAGGGGAGAAGTCAAGGTCAACGGAGTCAGGGCAGGAGGAGTAAGAGATGTGGCCAGGGGTCAGAATATGAGATCAGGTCAGAGTCTAGGGGTCAGAAGTTGGGGTCTGGAGGGTTCAAGGTAAAGCCAAAAGTTCAAGAGTCAAGGGGTAAGAGGTCAAGGTCAAGGCAGTGAGAGTTTGTGGCCTGGGGTTAAGAAAGCCCAGGGGATCTGAGGCCTAGGGGTAGGGTCAGAGGCCAGGGCCTGGGTACTCACACTGCCGCCTGGCACACCAGTCCGGTCCCACAGCAGGGTGAGCTCGCTGTGCCCAGGGCCCGCCGAGCCATTGAGCTGGCCCCGGATCTCTACCGCATACTTGTGGCCCCGGCCAGGCAGTGGGAAGAGACGAGCAGACCCCGGGCGCTGCAGCCGCCTCGTCTCCTTCTCCTGCTGAGCCACCCAGCGCCCCACCTCCTCCTGGGGCAGGGGTGAGGACAGACAGGGGCCTCAGAACTTTCCACGCCCTCCTCCAATCCCTGAAACCTCCAAGAGCCCCAAACCCACCCAGGACCTACCTGCTCTTGGGCAGAGGAGGAGGGCCTCAGGGTTCCTTAGACCCCAAGAACCTCCCAGCACCTCCAAACCTGAAAGTGGCCCACCTCCTCCTCAGGGGAGTTTAACTTGGTAACTCAGACCTTCCCCACCTTCAAAATTCCCCCCAATTCTCTTCACAACTGAAAACAGCAGGGCCCTCCCTCCACATCCCAGACCTCTAATTTCTCCTCAGTCCTGCCCTGCATGACACATCCCAGCCCCATATTTCCCATTAACAGCCCCTGAATGTCTCAGGCACCCTCACCATGTTCTCCGTGTCAGGGCCACGGGCCATCCGAGCCAAGACATGTAGGCGCTGGGCCCGGGCCCACACGGCCACGTCCTCGGCCCCAGGCCCACCTGGCCCTCCCGGCAGCAGTGGGTGGATGAAGCCACGGTAGACCAGGGACACATCGGTCTCTGGGCTGGGTGTCAGAGTGATGGTCGTACTGCGGACAATCAAGACCTGTGCCAGCCAGGGAGGGGGGTATGTGTGAGTGCCTTTCTGCATGGCACTCCCCTACAGTCCCCACACCCCAAAGGCCACATCAGAGCCAGAAAGGCACAGCAACCCAACCTCCTTCCCTATTTTACCAAATGAGAGACTGAGCCCAGGGGCAGGGGGTAGGCAGCTCGGCCAGGGTCACTCTGGGAGAAGAGTCAGGACTCCAATTCAGACAACAGACAACAGGGTCCCAGCCTCTGCTCATCTTGACCTCCCATTAAACTCCAGGACCAGACCTTTCAGGAGCCTCTTCCACAACACCATGCCTTTCCACCTAAGCCCTTAAGAGTACAGATCCAGCATTCAAAGCACCAGGCATACTACATGGTTTATTGCTAGTATGTGTTTTTGTAACTGCAAAAGAATGGAACAACTCAAGTGTTCAGCCTAGGAGACTGTTTAAATAAACGACAGCACTGCGGCATTAGAATATAAATGGAATATTATGCAGCTGTTAAAAAATAAATTAGGGTGTTTCCTAAGTCCTGTTATGGGAAGCTTGTGAGGATGTGTTAAGAAAAGAAGGAAGTAGCAGTACAGTGTACACAGTATTCCACTTTTTGTGCAAGAAAGAAAAATAACTGTCACATTTACTGGTATTTGAATAAGTAGAGTCTAGAAGGATAAAAAAGAAACCCAAATGGATCTTCTGAGGAGAGTTAGGGTGGTTCCGAGTTGGGGGGATGCTGGGGACAGCTTCCCACACTGAGGGGGTACGGAGTGAGGTAGACAGCAGAGACTTTTTTGTGTGTGAGGAAAAAAATTTTCTTTTTTCATTTTTTTCTAAATTTATTTATTTATTTTATTGTGGTAACTCAACTTTTTATATCATTGTGATTTTTGAACCATGTGACTATATTACCTATTTTAAAAATCAAAATCAAAATTGGTTCTTCAAGAAGTTAAACATAGAATTATCACATGACCCAGCAATTCTGCTCCTAGATACATACCCAAAAGAGTTGAAAATAGGTGCACAAACAAAAACCTGCACATGAATGTTCACAGCAGCACTACTCACAATAAGCAAAAGGTGTAAACAGCCCAAATGTCAATCAGCTGACGGATGGATGTGGCCCAGCCACACATGGGATATTATTCAGCCATAAAGAGGAATGAGTTCTGACACATGCTACGTGGATGAGCCTTGAAAACATTATGCCGAAACAAGCCACACACAAAAGGCCACATATTATATGATTCCATTTATATGACCTATCCAGAGTTGGCAAATCCAGGGACAGAATACAGGTTAGTGGTGATCAGGGGCCGGGGGAGAGGAGAATGGAGAGTGGTGACTTAATGGATCCTGGATGTCCTTTTGAGGTGATGAGAAGGTTCTGGAACAAGATAGTGGTGATAGGTGCACAATATTGTGAACGTGCTAAATGTCACTAATAGTAAATTTTATGTTGCGTGCATTTTACCACAATTAAAAAAATGTTTTTAAGTCAATAAGGAAAATCAGACCCTTGAATGTAAAGACTTACGGGGTAAACACAAGAGTGATGAAGATGCATGTGAAAAATGAAAACCCTAGGACTCTTCAGGCTCTTCAACAAACACTCCACGCTGGATCCCATACCCCAGCTCCCTACCTTGTCAGGCTGGGAGGCGTTGGGTGGCTGCTGGAAGGTGAGCAGGTGCAGGCCAGGCAGGAAACTCTGGGTGATGCAGGCCTCCAGGGATGTGACAAAGACAGGCGCAGGCCCCCACCAGCCCACAGTGCCTGAGATCTGCTCCCCTCGGCAGCGGGCCTGCTCTGTGAGGACAGAGCGTGGGGGTGGGGTCAGGATGAGGGGTGGCACCACCCCTCCCACAGTGCCACTCGACACTCACCAGGCCGAGGAAGGCAGCTCTCGTTGTGCACACACCAGCCCAGGGCGCCAGGCCCCCGGGGAGGAGCCGCAGGGCTGCTGAAGGCCAGGCAGGCCTGGCAGTCGCCCAGGAGGCGGCCCAGGCCCAGGCAGCTGGCAGCTGGACACTGAAGGGAGGGGAGGAGACAGCGGTCAATGCCCACGAGGGCTTAAGAAACCTGGGAAGGGCTGTGGATTCACGAGTCTTGGGGAGGAAGAGGTCAGGAAATTGGAGGGACTTGAAGGCTGGGTTGGAATGAGGAGGATCAAGAGGACAGGGGCTGCGGGACCTGCGGACAGGGTCCTAAGTTCAAAAGGATTGGGGAGGGGTCAAATGTTCAGGGGTCCGGAGTCAGAAATGCTGATCTGAGGTGTGAAAAACAGTCTCCCAACTGGGGGAATGTCCTGCACTCGGTATAGGCAGAAGGAGACACTGAGGGCTGGGTCTCTGTGTTAGGGGACAGTGTTAGACAGTCACTCACAGTCCCCGAGGGGGTCCCAGGAGGTGGAGCAGCTTGGCAGGCCCCCTGACACCAACTGCATTCAGGGTCTCGGGAGCAGACACTGTGGTCCGTGTACATGGAGCAATAGTCCAAGTGGTACTGTAGGGAGATGGGGGTGGAGCAGGGGCTCCTCAGACCTGGGGCCTGCTCACCTGGCCCCACTCACTGTGATCATTCTGGGGAACCCCGACTGCTCTGCACCTGAAGACCCACATCCACTCCTCCCCCAGCCCCAGGGACCTCCATTCCTCCTCCCCTGAACCAGGGAACCAACCTCCCTCCTCTCATGGCCTTAAGGACACCCACTCCTTCTCTAAGGAACCCCCCCCCCCAACTTTTTCCCTTATCCGTGTAAACCAAGCTACCTTCTACCCAGCCACCCTCTCCCTGTCACCCCAGTGCTCACATCCGGGGCAGGTGCCTGGAACACAAAGGGGGGCACCTTGTAGGCCATCAAGTCCCCGCGAGGACGGCCACTGTACCCCCCAGCCACCAACAGGACGCTGCCACCAAGCACAGCTGCCACATGTGAGTACCGACCACTGGGAGGCGCTGCTCGGCCTAGGAGAATACAGACCCCCAAGGACATGAGACCCCCCAATCCCCGCCCTCCCCCTCATGGCTCCCCTGCTTAGAGAACTACCCCTGACTCTCCTATGTCTCAGCCCAGCCTCCCAGTTCCTGCTTCAACTTCACCTGCCCAAAGAAACCCTCCCAGCCTGCCTGGCCCTGCACTAGCTCTGGTTCTCTCATCTCTCTGCCCAAATCATCTTTCAGACACAGCATGATCTTTCGAGTCAGAAAGACTTGGGTTCAGATCCTGGGTCTACCACTTACTTGGGTTCAAATCGTAGATCAACTACTGACCAGCTGTGAGTCCTTGGGCAAGAGACTCAACTTCTCTGAGTCTTGGTTTCCTCTTCTCTAAATGGAACCATCAGCCCACCCTCGGGGAGCTGAGGCAGGCTGCCTGACTCTCATCTGTTTTCGTCTGCCTGGCACCAGCCTCCCTTCTGGTGACAGCCTAATTTTCCTCTGGAAAACCACCCTCTCCCACTTGCAGTCCACAAGGCTCAAGTCGAGCCATCCCTGCCTCTGGCAGCAGTGGGGCTTTAACCCAGGCTCATCAGCGTCAGTGACTAGTTCAGGGATAGTACTCAATTCCTACAATTCTTGGGGAAAAGGCACTCTCTTCCCTCTGGGCATTTTAAAAAGGTAGGATATAATCCCAGAGCTGCTAGTGACCAGCAACACAAGGCCTGCTGGACACTGAAGTAAACTCAGCCAAAAACTGGAGACAGAAATGGCTGATGCCATCATGTGAGCGCCTGGATCCAGTCCAGCCCGAAGCCAGGAGTTTTCACTCAAGTGAGCCAAGAAATTCTTCTTTTTGCCTAAGCTGGTTGGGTTGGATTTCTGTCACTTACAACCAAGAGACTTGATGGGGAAGTGGTCAGTGATGGGTGACTCCCTCATCGTCTTATTGGCCTGTATGCTCTGTGAGCACATGGGACTTGGCCCAGGGAATCTCAGACTGCAAAGGAGGAAGAGGCCTCCAGAAACCTCACCCTCTGGCCTGCCCAGAGAAGGGGCCTGAAGGAGGGACAGGAACAGGCAGAAAAGCCCTGGACCGGAGGCCTCAAATGTAGGTCAAGGTTTTATTCCTGATGGTCAAACAGGGTTCCTTGGGGACCCTTCCTCTTGCCCATCTCTTAAGTGTTAATATCTCTTCCTTATGCCTATCCTCAGTCCTCGATTTTCTGTTCAGTGGAACAAGGAGGATAGATGGGCCTCCTGAAATGGCATGCCCAGTTTGTACACACACATATCCTTCTGAGGAGAAGGCCTGTGGTACTCTTCTGATTCTCAAAGCAGTCTCTGAACCAATGAGTATGAAAGGTTTCCCCACACCCCCTTAAACATGAGCCTGCTGGCCCTGCAGCAGTACTGTCACTGCTATCAGAAAGACAATCAATCTAGCCCCTTACTAAGCTGTCTTCATTCTTTATATGTCATCTCAACTTACTCTAACAACAGCCCAGTGGCTTAAGTGTTATTATAATCCCGATTTTACAGATGAGGAAGTTGAGACACAGAGAGAGGATATGATGGTTTTTGTACAGATGGTTGTTTGGGGCCAGCCTTCCTGGTTCTGCCACTTGCCCACTGTGTGACCTTGAAAAAGTCACTTCTTCATGGACAGTTCTCATAGAAACTGGCAAAACCTGGATTGGAACCTAGATCTGATACTGCTGTACCTGCCTCCCATCTCATGGCAACAATGCTCTAGTCCTGCCTCCAGCCCAGGTTTGCCTCCTGAGGCCAGGAGCCAATAGGATGTCTAATTCATCGTGAAGGACTGAGGTGGCTCCTACCCAGAGCCTAGATTCACTGTGGGGGGACGTGTGACCCACAGGAGCCCCTCAGGGAAAGAGAGGGGCCACTCACCCTCAGGGGTTCCTGGGGGGGCAAGCTCAGCCCCTGACACCCATTGATGACAGCCCAGGTGGTAGAAGAAGATGCCGTCTTCATAGCACTTTTCCTCCTGGTAATGGGTGTGCACGTTGCCCCCTGGGAAAGGAGGAAAGGGGCACAGCTGGCAAGCCTAGGGGAGGTGGGGACACTCATGCAGGGAGCCTCAGCTCAGGGCTGGCTTGGGCCCCTGGCAGGCAGGCCGGATCAGAGAACCTCCTCACCATAGACCACCATGTAGTTGCCCAGGACACTGGCCGTGTGGAAGGCTCGCTCTCGTGGGCCCTGAAGCCCATCCCTGCCCTTCAGGGTCGTCCACACGCGTCGATCCACATGGAAGAGCTCAGTGGAGTTCACCCGCACAGAGAACCTATGGGAGAGGGGCAGAGGAGGGGCTCAGGGCAGGAGGGGCCTCTCTCCCTCCTCTGGGCTCTTAGGAGTTGGGTGACCACCCAGGGTTGAGACTGCCTGTGATTCGGTTTATGTCCCCTCAGAACTAGAAGCTCCCCGTGGGCAGGACCCCAGGTTTGACTCATCTCTGGCTTCCCTGCAAAATCTAACCAGAGCTGGACACCAAGCAGGGGTTGGTTGAATGGACGGATGGGTGGGAGTGTGTGGGGAGACAAGAGACTAAGAGATTGAATGAAAGATTAGAGAATGAGTAAGTAGGTAAATGAATGAGTGAATAAATGAGTGAGTGAATGAATGATTGACTGAATGACTGCAGGAGTTGGTTAGTGAGCAAAGACCACTAAAGACTAAAGGCACAGGGTGTTGGGCCAGATCTGGCCCTACAGGGCAGGTCACTCACCGGGCAGTGGAGGGTCGGTGTCCACCATGAACCAGCAGGGTGCGAGAGGGGGCATGGAACACCATGGAGTGGCCGGTGGCAGCAGGAGGCCGCCCACCTGCCGGAATCACCTGCTCCCAGTAGCCCCCACTGGTGCTGTCAAGACGGAAACGGAAGAGGCCAGAGGAGAAGAGGTCGTGCTGGGTGCGGCCACCAGACACATAGAGCCAGATGTCGTCCACTAGGGCAGCCGCATGACCTGCCAGGCCTGGAGGCCCCAAGGAGCTAGAAACAGGTGGTGCCAGGAGCTCCCAGTGGCCCCCACCTTGGGGGCTAAAAGCCCACACATCGCTGGTGAGAGAGCCATCAGCCAGTTCACCGCCCATCAGCACCAGGGAGCCGGCCCAGGCCACAGCCACATGGGAGTGACGGGCAGCCTGTGAGGAAGAGACCAGGAGACAGAGATGGAGAGCGAAACAGATGATGACATATAGAAAGAGAATGAGAGAGAAAGCCAGACATATACAGAGAGAGGCAGAGATGGAGAAAGGTGGAAAGACAGAGATACGGAGAGAAAGAGAGAAGATGAGACAGACATACACAAAGAGAGAAAAGAAGAAAGAGAGACCCAAAAAGACAGACACATTCAAATAAAAAAGGTGAGACAGAAAAACACAGCAAGAGAGGGAGGAGGCAGGGAGACAAGAAAAGAAGGAGAAATGACAGAGAAAAGCAGAGAGAGATACAACCCAGAGAGAAGGAGACACAGAGACCGAGAGAGAGAGCAGAAGACCAAGAGTCAGACAAAAACAGAGACGGAGCAAGAGAGAGACAGGAGACACACAGAAAGATAAGATGCAGAAAAGGAGGTAAGGAAAGAAAAAAGAAAATCAGAGACAGAAAAGCAGAAGCGGGAGGAGTAGGTATTCCTGGAGCAAGCTGCAGGGGTAAGGGGAGTATGGGGCGGGGGGTGGGGTTGCTGCAGGGGGCCCCGGCTGGGTCTGACAGAGTGGACAGGCGCCTCCAGCCAGGGAAGAGGTGGGGTCCATACCGGGGCAGGACTCAGGTCCCAGCGTTCCCAGGTGTTGGCAGAGAAGTTGTACAGGACGAGGTCACCCAGGGCTCTGTTCAGGTCCTGGCCTGTGGAGGGGTGGAATGTCTCAAGCCCTGGCCACAGGCTGCCAGGCTTCCAGACCCCAGACGCATACCCATCTGCTCACCTCCAAAAACAGCCAGCAGCCCGGGTGGGGACAGGAAGGCACCAGCCGCCCCAATTCGGGCAGAAAAGGCAGGGTCCCCAGCACTCACGTTGTGCCACCAGCCAGCCCCCTGGTTCTCCCACAGGTGCAGGTCACAGGCGCGTCCCAGGAAGCCAGGCTCACAGAGGCATGGTCCCAGGGGCTGGGGCAAGGGGACACAAAGGCAGAGATAGAGAGAGAGAGGAAAAGACAGAGAGACAGGGGGAGGAGAGACATGGCCAGAGTGAGACACACAGGGAGAAAGACAGAAGGCGAGAGACAGATAGGAAAGGAGAGAATGGAAAAAAAGATAGAGAGGCAAAGGGAGAGAGAGAGGGAGACAGACCAACAGACAGAGGAAGAAAGAGAAACAGAGACACAACCAGAGGAAGAGAGGTGGAGAAAAGCAGACACACCAACAGAAAAAGGGAAAGAGAAAAAGAGAAAGACCCAGAGAGAAAAATGAGGACAGACAGAAGACGACCGGTTGGAAAAGAAAGACAGTCAGTGAGGTCAATGTCTGCTAGGGCTGGAAGAGCTCAGATCTGGGAGGTCAAGGCAGGGAGGGCTCCAGGCATGATCCAGACCCCAAGCTGGATGTGCACGGCTTAGACCCAAGGTCAGTGGTCGAAAGTCAGAAGTCATGGCCAAGGGCCCATAGGTCAGACAGAGTGACTGGGTGGGAGGACAGAGTTGGGCCTGGCAAGAGGAAGAAGGCTGGGTTCACAGGTGAGAGATGGGTTATCGATGAGGACAGGAGTGGGCTCAGGAGGAGGGGCCCCAGCTGAAGGTGGAGTGGGTTGGAGTAACAGATGGGGGTAGGATCCGGAAGGAGAGGGGAGTATTGTGGGTGAGAGTAGGGTCCCTGATGGTGGGGGCGTCATGGGAGAGAGTGGGGTGGCAGGGGGAGTCTCAGGCCAGGGCAGTCAGATCTACAAAACAGCAGCGGTGGGTGTGGTCACAGATCAGGGCCCCAGGGAGACACAGTTGGGGACAGGCTCACCGAGGCACAGGTGCCATGGCTGCCACAGTAGGCTGGACACTCCTGCAGGCCACAGTCAGGGCCCCCCCAGCCTGGCTCACAGGCACACACCCCCGGGGGCCGGCACTGCCCATGGCTGCGGCAGCCACCTGGGCACAGGGAGAAGCGGAACGAAGCGTTGAAGCCCAGCAGGTTGTAGTTGGCATCGCTGAAGAGGTGCAGCAGCATCTGCAGGCACAAAGCGAGCAGGGCTCCAGGGACTGGACTGGGAGGGCGGTCCATGCCTGCCCCACTCCACCCTGGGGGACCCCACCTCCTTTCCTTGTCCCTGTGTCCTTCAGTCTGATGACAATTCCCTCTCGCTGTCCTCTGTCCCCCACACTCCACCTAGATCCTCCAGCCACAGCCTCACAGCCAGTCCCCACCAACCTTGCCAGAGGAAGCCTCAATGGGCGGAGGCCGGGTGCTCCCACTCAGACTGGCAAGCAGGTGCCCACGGGGGGAGTCACCGTCATACACGAACAGGTAGTCGTATGTGCATTCCGTGTCCAGAAAAAGGAAGTCCAGCAGGATCCGGTGCTGGGGGCTTGGGGCTGGGCGGTGAGAACAGAGCAGCCAGGCTCAAATGTGAACCCTCTCCCCACTCCTCCATGCAGCCTACCCACAAACATCAGGCCCTGTTCCGGGTGATGGGGGCCCAAAGATGAGTCAGACCTTGGCTCTGCCTTCGAGGGGCTCCTGGTCTCCTAGCCCAGGGAGATCAGAGCTGTGACAGCAAGAGGGATGGGACATCTGAGAAGGAATTACAGTATCAGCCCTGGAAAGGATCCCTGGGATCAGGCTGAACACCTCCCACTATGCAGGCAGGAAAATTGAAGTGCAGAGAGAGGAACCCCATCCCAGTGGCCACACAGAGCCTGTTCCCATTCATGCCTGAGCCTCAGACATGCTCAGGCCTGAGGGTCAGGGTCCAGATCCTAGCAGAGAGGCACACTCCCAGATGGAAAGGGCCACTGTGAGGGTCCCCGTTCCAGGCCCAACAGAGCTCTAAGGGAAGAGGCCGGTTTCTTCCCCCTGGACAAAGGCCAAACCTTAGAGCATCACAGCTCTCTTCTGCCCCGACCCAGGCTCTCATTTATGTTTATTGTAGCGGCTAAGGGCATAGACTCTGGAGCCAGACTGCCTGGGCTCAAATCTTGGCTCTGCCACTTACTAGCTACTAGCTATGTGACCTTGAACAAGTCACCCGCCCTCTCTGGATCTGTTTCTTCAGCTGTAAAGTGGGGATATAAGGGTACTGTGGTAGATTCAAACTTCTTGGCCACTCCTCCCATTGAAAGGTGAGGGCTGATTCCCTGCCCCTGTATCTGGAAAGAGCCTCAGAGACCAGCTTGACCAATACAAAGCAGCAGAAGTCACGTTCTGGGACTTTCAAGGCTGGATCAGAGGAAGCCTTGCAGCTTTCACCTGGGCCTCGTAGAATGCTCCTTCTCAGAACACAGCTGTCAGGCTGTGAAAAGCCAAGGCCACATGGAGGGGCCACGTGTAGGCGTCCCAGCTGACAGCCCCAGCTGAGCTTCCAGCTGACAGCCAGCATCAACTGGCAGCCCTGTGAGGCAGCCTTCTTGGACATCCGGCCCAGGTGAGTGTTCGGATGACTGCAGCCCCAGCTGACATCTGACTGCCCCCACGAGAGGTGATAACGCAGGGAAAGTGCTTAATGGGACCCAGCACTTCATAAGTGCCACTAGTCCTAGCACTGTCACTATTCTTGCTCTCTGCCAGGTCCTGGTTCCAGAAGGTTCTCTCATCCCACATCTCACACTGGGGCTCAGGGAAGTCTTCTGGGCTAGGCAAACGAGGAGACCTGGGTTCCAGCTCTGCCCTGACCTGCTGGAAGACCCTCAGCCAGCTTCCCCACGCCCCTCAGCACACTCATCTGTACACCGAAGATGCTCATCCACCACTCACTAGCTGTGTGATCTTGGGCCAGTTCCATGGGCTCTCTGAGCCTCAGTTTCCTTGATGTAAAATGGGGATAATTCTCCCTACTCACCAGGGCTGGTGTGAGGATTCAACATGATAATGACCCCAACATGACAGCCCAGGCTTCCTCCTCTTTTACCAGGACCACCGATCCAGCCTCCTTCCTGGCCTCCCAGCCTCCTATGGGTCCCTGAGGGGTCTTCCCAACTCGACATCTGGCCCTGGCCCTCCCCTGCTCCATGGCTCCTCACAACCCACAGGAGAAAGTCCAGCTCCCTAATCTGGCGTTTAAATTCTCACCTTGTCTCACAACACCCCACTGCCTGCAGCTCTATCAGGAGCTGGGTCTTTGCACAAACTTCTCCCGCTATCTGGAGTACATTCTCCCTTCCGGCAGCAAACTTCCCAACCTCCTCCAGGAAACCTTCCCTGATGTCTCCTAGCTGGGTTAGGCGCCCCTCTTTGGGGTTCTCACTTCCCGTTGTAACCTTCATTCCTGTGGGCCAGGACCATCTGTGTCCAGGTCTGGGTCTCCTGCAGCCTAGGAGGCCCACAGGTCTGGGCCTGGGCCTAATTTAACTTGGGGTCCCTCCCTGGCATTGTCCAGCACGGGGCCTAGCACTGAGCAAGGGCTCAGGACGTTCTGGGTGAAGGAATCAAGAAATGCACAAAAGAAAGAATACTGAAGTTGGTAACTCTCCTTCAGGCTCTAACCAGAGTCAGTGAGAACATCACACACAGACCCCAAGCCGTGGTCTGGGGAATGCGGAAGAACCATTCAGCCACACCAGGCAACTAGACCTCCCAGAATCTTACCAGCTCAACGAAACTATAAAGCTCTGTTCCCGGATCACAAGTACATCTTTGTTAAGAGCCTGCCAGAGGCTGGCTCACCCTCTGCCTTGCCCAAGTTCCTCCCTAAGTTCAAGGTCTCCTGTTTCCACCCAATGTGGACCCAAACCCCCATGCCATCCTGGACAGAGATCCAACCCCAAAACCACTTGCTATTCAAAAGTAGGATACCTCTTATTCACGAGGATGTTATGAGTTCTGGGTACAACAAACTGTGCACATGGTACAAAAGTTAAGTTGCATATTTTTTAATAGATGGGGGAACATGTTGCTTCTTAGAGGTGACAGCCATTGGGAAGGATGGGAGATCAAGGGGGTCTGGAAGTCTCCCAGACTCCTCCCTACCCCAACATCCAGCCAGGTGGTCCCCAAGTCTCTTTGGTGAAGCTTCACAGACATTTCTCTGTGCTCTGCACACCCCTCCACCTCCTTAGCCCCCGTCCCAGTTCAGAACTCATCTCCTGTAAGACTAACATAACAGGCCAAGTCGCTAGTCTGCCCCTGACGCAGCCTGCCCCTGATGCCCCACTCCTGCTCAAAGTCCTCCTGTGGCTCCCCATCAACCCCAAGAGAAAAGTCAAGCTGCTCAGCATGACATTCAAGGCCCTTCTTCCTCTGCTTCTGGCGCCCTCCTCACACCCCAGCCAACAGTCCAGCCAGATCGGACAAACCTAGAAATGGCTCCTGAGACACACCAGCCTCTCTTTTGCCTTTATAGAGGCCGTTGCCTTTTCTCACACAGTAAACTCTTATGCACGCTTCAGAACCCTGCTCCAGTGGCAGCTCCTCTGTAACCCTCGACAGAGTCCTCTCACTCCCCTAGGCCCATCTACTCAACCTCCTTTCATCTCAGCCCTGAGCACACTAGGGCCTGAATATCTGTATACAGCCCTACCATCTCCAACCAGGCTGGGGCTCTCAAGGCTGGAGAATGACTTATGCCCTCAATATATACACATATTTTCTATTCTGTTCTCATCCTCAGACAGGAATGGCCCCCACATTGGGGACAGACACACTCAACCCCAAGAAACATGCTTCATCCATAACCCACATAACAGTCATAGAGACCTTCTAAAACATAAATCAGATCACGCCCTTCTCCTGCTCAAAACCCTTCCATAGCTCTCCACTGCTCCCAGACAAAGACCATGCTCCGAAGCCTGCGAAGGGAGGCCCTGCATGATCCAGGCCCTGTCACACCTCTGGCCTTTGCCCAGGACCTCCTCTGGGGGATTCCCACCCCATCCTGGAGGCCAGCTCCTACATCCACTGCCAAGGGAGGCATTCCTGAACTCTAGCCACTGCCTTTAGACTTCTCTTCCACCTCCCTATTGCCTTCAGGATATAGCTCAAAATCACAAGGTTCTGCACGCTCTGGCTCCTTCCAACCCTCCAGTCTCTGGCTCAGTTTGTCTTCTTGTATTCTGCGTTCTAGCACACTGGACTTCTAGCTCCTCAAAAGCATCATAGCCTCCAGCTTGCAGGTCTTTGCACAGGCTGTTCTTGCCTGGAATGCTCTTTTGCTCCCTCCTACGCATGCCTCTGGTCTCAGCTATAGCCCAAGCTAAGTCAGATGTCTTCTCTGGGCTTCCCACTCCCTGGGGGTGGGTTTGTCTCACCCACTGGACTGGGGCCTTTGCACAGGCTGTTCTCTCTTCCTGGAATGCTCTTCCCCTTCCTCCTCCTGGCTAATTCCTATTGGTCCTTTAGGTCTCAGCTCAGACACCTACTCCAGGAAGCCCTCTTTACTCTCTCTCACCCCCAGGTCAGGCACCTCCTCTGGGCTCCCCCAGGCCCTTGGGGTTCCTCCATCACAGTCCCAACTACTCTGGGCTGTCACTATTAACGTCTTTGTCTCCCTGACTGGATTCCAAGCCCCAAATCATCAGAGATTGCTGGGGCTGTCTTGGTCGATGCTATGTCCCAGTGGCAAATAGAATGTCTGGCACATGAATGACTGAAAAAGTGCTTTTATTGAATTACTTTTAAAATAATAAAAGTATTAATCCTAATATCATTTATTGAGCATTTACTATGTGCCAGGCATGTTAAATATCTGTTCTCATTTAATTTGAACCACTCTATGGTGGGTACTATTATTATCCCCACTTGGGGGGAGGGGAAGCTGGCCCTCAGAGAAAGGAAGCTACCTGCCCAAATACACAAAGCTAGTAAGAAGTGGAAGCCAAATTCGAAGCCAGGTGGTTGGGCTCAGAGCCTGAGTTTCTAACAATTACTCAGAATATCCTTCACCCATGCTTCTGGCTTGTAATTGATCATATAGGTCTGGGTTCAACTCCCCCACCAGGCTTCAAGGCCTTCCAGGGCAGGGCCCAGGTTGGCTGCAATTTGGAGCAAAGGGCCTGGACCAGAACCGGGCTCTGGGAATGTGGTGAGTGGATGAACGAGTGCACAAATGAATGAATTAGCGCATGAGTGGGTGTGTGACCCACGCGGCCCCACTCACCCTCGATGAGCCACTCGCAATTGCCATTCACGCTGTAGTTGCCCGCACCATCCGTCACGAAGCCTGGCGCCTCCCGCAGCACTTGCCGCTGCCCCTTGCAGTCCCCCGCCAGGGCCCCAGGGGACAGCGGCCCCAGCACGGCCAAAGATAGAGCCAGCGCCGTGGCCAGAGCCTGGCCCACAGCCATTGCTGCCTCCCGCACTGGCCCTTACGGATGGGACGGGCCTTAAAGCCCCTGAGAGGCCCTGCAAATGCGACCTCTATAGACGGGACATGGCCTTGTAGACCGGGGGGGTCCAGGCGTCGCAGTTCCCGAGAAGGGAACCGCCGCTGTTGACCGGCTCTAGAAGCCGAAGGGTGGACCCTGTAGATCCAGGGAAGACCCTGTAAATGAGGTCGTTATGGGCGGGACTGACCCCTAGGGATCGTGGGAGTCCCTTACAGACACGGGCCCCCATAGGCTGGCCGACCCCATAAACGGTGTCCAGCAGTTACAGACGCGGGCCGCTGTAGACCGAAACGGACCTTATGAACGGGTGGGTCCCCAGAGGGCGAAGGGCTCTACAGCCAGGCGGGGGCCTACATAGAGGGTGCGAGCCGGTCCAAGGCAGGCCGGGATGGTCCAGGAGAGAACGCTCCAGTCGGGGGCGGGGCGCGAGCGGGTGCCGGGGGCGGTGCCCGTCTTCAGGGGCTTGGGCCTGGACCCCATAGACGCATTTCCTTGCTCACCCACCCGCGCCTCCCTCCGGAGCCGGATGAACCAGATCAGAGAGATGAGGGGATGCTCGGGCCAGAGCGGCCCGGGAAGACCCGCAGGGAGTGGGACAAGAGGGTGGGGCCGAGCGGCCGCTGTGGGAGGGAGGACGCAGAGGAGACGAGAAGCAACCAAGTCGCAGGTCAGAGCGGCCCTAGGAGGACTGCGGAGCACCCAACCCCACCCCTCCACAAAGGGAGGTTTCCGGAAGCCTCCCCGCCCATTTGTTCCCGGACGCATGCGCAGCAGTGACCTCCTTGGCCTGCCAAACCGAGAAATTACACATGCGCAGTGCTAAAATCCTAACCGAAACTCGGGATGCAGGTGGCTGACCAAAGCACGTACCACTGGAGGGCGCCTCTAGCTCTGACTGGGAAAGTGAAGGTAAAAATAAAGGAGCCATACAGTAAGAGGGCTCCGCTACATGATTTATATCTTCATTGCTCCCAGATTCTGGGTTAACGAAAGGTCAGATTATGTAGTCCCCTCCCAAAATGCCGTTTCACAGATGGACACACTGAGGTCCCGAGCCTGGAGCGGTTCTTGCTCACCTCGGCCTCTGAGCACCATCAAGATGTAAAAGAGGCCATCTTATAAATAAAAACTCAACGAATCCTCTTTATTTTGGCAAGAAGGGGGAAAAAAATCTTTCTGCCAGGGACCTGAGGGAGGGCCTCTGGGATGGAAATAGGGGTGGACAGAGCACGGGTCCGAAGTCATAGAGATCCAAGGGAAGGTTTCAGCGTCGAGACCACAATATCCGTCCCGGGAGCAGTGGCTCAGGGTCGCAGAGTCCTGGAGAGTCACAAGCAGGGTCCCGGCGATCGTCACTGGTGTCCCAGGGTCCAGCGGGTCAGAGGTCTCGGAGGGGGCCAGGGGGCCGAAGGTCTCGGAACAGCGGGAGCCCAGAATCCGGCGCCGCTCGGGGCAGGGGCTGAGGGAGGGGACGGGGACAGCGGCTCCCGCGGGACCGTTTGGCACAAGAGTCGGGGGGGGGGGGGGGGGGGGGCGGGAGCTGGACACTACGCACCCCTACCTGGGCGTGCGGGGTGGGGAGGGTCGGGAAGGCCCGGAATAGCCGAGCCCTGGGGCCAGGATAGAGCGGGGGTCTGGAGCCCGGCCGGGGCCCGGCGCGCGGCCCTTGGGGCAGGGGCGGGCAGGGGTGCTCAGACCGGGGGTGCGGGGCCCCCGGCCGTGTGCATGCTGAAGTATTCGGTGAAGCCGGTGTGCGGCGCCGCCGTCTGGGGCACGAGCGGCTGGTAGGGCGGCGTCGGGCCATCCCAGCTCGGGTCGGCCGCCTTGGGGAACCGAGCGGGAGGGGGCGGGGAGGCCGCGCCCGGATCGGCCGTGGTCACCACGCGGCCCCTCGGGGCCACCGCCGCCGCCACCGCCGTCTCCTCCACCTGCTTCCCGGCCTGGGAGGGGGGTCAGGGTCAGACGCCGTCCGGGACCCACGGGGGGCATATGCGGCCCCGAAGGCCCGTCCCCCTCCCCCCAGAGGACGCCCCCCTCCCGAGGTGTGGGCGAATGTGTCAGTCAGGGAAGGAGTGGGTGGCGGGGCGCCTAGGCAGCGGGGCTAGGTACTCTGGGGGCGGCGTCGGGGCGCGCCGGGCGAACTCCGGCGGCGGCCGGGAAAGTGGGGGGGAGCCGCAGAAGGCCGGCGGCGGGGGCACGGCGCGTGGCGTCTGCGGGGGCGTGCACAACAGCGCCAGGACCCAGTCCGGCAGGGTGGGCGCGGGCGCCTGGGGAAAGTCGCGGCGCGGCTTTGGGACGCGGGGCGTGCGAAAGGCAGGGGGCGGGCTCAGGCGCTTGGGCCCGGGGGGCGGCGGCGGGGCCGGGAGCGGGGTCAGGTACTCCAGGGGCGGCGCCAGCAGCTCCTCGGGCGCCGGGGGCGCGGGGCTTACGGAGGAGGCGGGCGGGGGGATGGAGAAGAGCTCCGTGAAGTTGGGCACCGAGTCGCTGATGAACGTCACGTTCCCATAGACGTGCTGCGGGAAGGTCTTGTCCGCGGATTCGCTCCCTCCCGGGCCCGGGGCCGCGGCTGAGGCGATCTGCGACGTGCGCACGTGGTACGGGAAGTTCTTGTTGGCGGCCGATGGGCGTGTCATGATCTGGGGCGAGGGGCGGGCGCAGGTTGGAGAAGCACGGTCCAGGCCCCAGCGGTTCCTAATGATTCCTCACTTGACGACCTCCACCCGTCCCTGAGACTCTTCAACTGGACTAGGCTCCTCCTCTAGGCTCTCACAGTGCACTGGGCTCTGACCTTTTTCCTCCATCACAACTCATTACTCTGCCGATGCTTCCTCCATCAGAGCCCTGATCACTGAATTATCACTGACTGGTTAAGCTTCAGTGTCTGTCCTGCACTGTCCAGTATGATCGCCATTAGCCACGTGTGGCTATTTAAATTTAAATCAAAATTAAACTAAAATTTTTGTTTCTCAGTCACACTCACCACATTGAAGTGCTCAATAGCCACATGTGGTTAGTAGCTATCACACTGGACAGCACAAATTATAGAACATTTTCATAAACACAGAAAGTTCAATTAGACAGCAACTGATAGACTCTAGAATGTTAGCTCCATGAGGGCAGGAACCTGACTGTTCTGTTCCCTGCAGAATCCCCGATATCTTCTAGAATGTGTCTGGCACATAAAGGCTTTCAATAAATATTGGTTGAATGTAGAGATGTCTCCCCAGTTAGTCTGGTAGACCATGAGGGCAGGGACTGGGTGTGACTTGAGCACTACACAGGGGAGCCTTCTAAGGTTGTGCTGAGTAAGTGAACAAGGAGCTGAAACCAATGAGCAGTGGAATGCCAAGAGGTGGAGCTGTGCTGAGCTAACGTGAGCATTTTTAGGAAGGAAACTGGCTGAAGGTGAAATATTGCAGAAAGGGCACTGCGTTTGGCGTTCTGAGCCTGCACTCCACCTCCCCGCCTCACAGCTCACCAAGTGTGGGATCTGGGGCACGTTGATTAAACTCCCTGAGCCTCACTGGGGAAAAGGCATTGCAGTGCCTACTTGGAAAGATGAGGAGAGAGAGGGTGGATATGAAAACCACTGGTGCAGAACCTGGCACATGGTGGGTTCTCGGTGTTTCTCTACTCTCTGTCCTTTTCTGACTTCCTCCAGAGCCTCAAGATGGACTGTCCCAGGAAGGTGAGTCTGTACCTAAGTCAGACTCTGGGGTAGAAGATGGAGGACCTAGCCCCCTCCCTCAATGCACATGGTGGACCCCTGGGGACAGGAGCTGGGGCCCTCAGTGATGCCTATTTCCCTGTCTGGCTTCCTCTTATGCCAGATCTTGTGGTCTGCTGGAGAAGGACTGGGTTCAAAGTCCCCGCCCTGCCACCAAAGGCCATGAAGCCCTGGCAGGTAGCCTCCCCTCTCTAGGCATTAGCTTCCCCTGTCTGTATAGTGGGTTCAATGGCTGTTATCCATCCCCTTTCCTGGGGCTGCTCTGATAATCAAAAAAGAGGGCAGGGATAAATGCATATGGTTCCTAACATGAAGCAGAGGCTGATTCAAGATAGGTGCCCACTGAATGATTGATGGATGGATGAAGGAATGAATATAATAACTGTCACCCAGAAGGCCAGATAGGATGTGAACCAGGGCAAAGAGGTTTGGTGCTGGTCCTCCTGATGCCAATCAGATCCAGGCCCCCTGGAGCCCCAGCCAGGCCCACCCCAGCTGCTTCTTCCTGGACAATGGCCTCTGATGGAGCAGCAGAGATGGGAGGATGTGTGGGGGAAGGGTGAAGTAGAGACCAAGAAGCTTGGGGAAGGCAGTGGGGATACACAAGGACAATGTGAGAATCTGCAAACACAGACAGGAATGGGAATGGAGAGGGGGACAAAGAAAGAGGGTGGGGTTGGGAGAAGAGACCAGGACACAAGATGGGAGAGAGGAATAGAATAGGGTGGACTCTGGGGGAACACAGTAGAGTAGCCTGCAGGAACTAGCAGGCTCTCTTAAATAAGTGTCTGTTGAATGATACAAGAGATAAAGTAAAGGAAATGGATCAAGAGCTCAGAACAGAAGGTTCACGCAAGTCAGGGATAAGGAGCCTCATGCATCCTCTGCCCATCGGTTTCCCACCCCCACCTGGATGCCCATCCTCACCAGGAACACGCCATGGGCATACAAATGGATACCCAGCTGGATGCCGTTAACAATCTTCTCCCGGGCCCACTTGGGGATCCCAAAGTTGGCAATCAGGGCCATGATGGGAACCGCAAAGAACCTGAAGGAGAGGTATTGGGTGGGTAGAGACACTGCCCCTGCCCTCTACCCCACCTGGTAGCCCCAACTCCCCTGCCATGCATAAACACAGGCCCCAGGCGGGTCCCAAAGGAGGGAAGCCAGTGTGACCTTCAGAAGGCAGAGGTTAAAAGAGGGCAGGAATTGCACTGGCCTGGGAAATTGTGAGGGGCAAGGACTAGGTTGAATTTAACTCAGTTCCACCCCACCCCAAATCCTGGCGCCTGATAGAAAATCAATAGATGTTTGAAGAATGAGTTAACATATGATAATAACAATTAAGAACTTACTGCATGCTAGACCTGTTTCTAAGCATTTCATATATATAAACTCATTTAACTCTCACAGTGACTATGAGGGAGTTACAGTTTTCATCCCCATGAAATAGGTGAGGAAACTGAGGCAGAGAGAAGTTAATTGACTTGCGTGAGGTCACAATGGTTTACAAGTTTATAACTGGGATCTGAACCCAGGCAGTCTGGCTTGGAAGCCACCTACTTTACTGCTATGTTATGTTGAACGATAAAAATTACAACTAGCTTTTATTGAACATTTACTGACACAAAGCCCCCATATACTGCCCTGTGCATGGTCAAGATAACCGTCTGCAGGAGATACTCTTAACAGCCTTTCTCCATGGGTAAGCAACCTGAGGCACTCTCTTTCACTTTGGGAAAGTAATTTTTTCCAAGTCACAAAGTGAGTAAGTGGCAGACTCTGGTGACAGCTGCCTGACTTGAAAGCCCATCTGCCTCACTGAGGAGGGTCTGAATTGGGGATAGCCATTTCTGGGGAGCCCTGGGAGGCAGGGACAGATTGGGGGCCCAGCACATCTCACCAGAGGGTGTAGGCAGCAAAGAAGGGCACGTAAAAAGGCTGC